AGTGCCATGGTTTTATGTGGGCTGGATATTGGAAGGTCCATCGAACCTAGACACGAGAACGACCAAAGACCTTGATTCAACAGGCTGACAACAGAGCAGTAATATTTGGAGGGAAATGCACGCGTATTACCAAATTTATAGAACATTTATAGGAAATTTTGAACAGTCATAGAGCATTTTTATAGCTGTACTCATTACCCAACAATTACGGAGAACGCTACCTGAAGTGCTGAGACAGAGGGACGCAAACCCGATGGTCACCGTGGGACTACGTTATGGGCGTAGCACTTCCAACACCAACAGAAAGATGATTCGCGAATATGTAGTATACGGTGTCTGCCAGTTTGATTGATTTAAATGTAAGTATTGGTGATGTACAACCTTGCTTAGTAGCCCTCGGCTCATGGGCATTCTTTATGTTTTCCATCCGCATTCCATCCTTCACAGAATCACTGTCCCCTGGTGCTTCTAAACCGTGCATATTACAAATGTGGTATTAAAACATCCTTCCAAGTTGATAACACCATACGACGCCACTTTGTAGGGTCAAGGACCCTATTGAAGAGAAACACAGTACCAACTGTGTCTACTAAATTCCCTGTACAAATGTCCGGCCAAATACATAGGCCAGACACCTGAACATCTCCATGTGTGCGTTTTCGTCCACAAAATCCAATCGAGTTTAATAGCTTGAATGCGACTCAGCCACTGCACTCCACACACTTGAGTTGAACCATCGAATCAACTTCGATATGACACGAATGCTCCGGTCAAGGCACAATTCGAATGGAATAGCGCTGAAGCACTGGATCTATGCACACATCCGAACTGCGCCAACCGTAGTGATGACCCTACTGAAGGCAGTTGATACTGGTCAGATGTCAAGCTCAATTCTCAGCAATGACGCATTGTACCCAACACAAAAGCAGAGGGGGGGGGGGCGAGTCCCAGCGAAACAGATAATCGGATACACACGCACACAAGCACACATTTTAGTTTTTTTTCGACTGCCAACAGATATCAGAAGCGCACAAATCAATATTCACGATGACGGACCCAAATAACGCAACACATGGACCGTCTTCAATTCACCGTAGAAATACTTGAAAAAGGGTGGCTACAGCAACCGGGCAGTCGGTGTTTTGGCCCTAAACAATCCATACAATGACTGAACACAAAAATATGTTAATCCATCATCTGATCTGTAGAATTCAAGGTAAAAAAAATGGTGGGCGAACAAAGTGATCAGCTAGGTTCTACACAATTCCCAGCCGTGTGACGTGAGAGAGGTCATGCGTGTGCACCTGCGAGCTAATCACTGTCAATCAGCCGCTCGTAGGCGAATGGTACAGAGTTCAGTCATTTGACGTATGTCGCTTGTGCCGTACGCATTGACATGAATGTGCATTGCTTATGATTTCCTACAATGTTAACGGCTTTTGAGCATAGAGTGACAGAACTTGTAGGATAGAATGTCTTCCTTGGGAATCCTGGTTATGGATATGGTGCACAACATAGAAAACGGAAGAACTGTTTTCAATGAAACTAGACAAGAAGGAACAATATGTTTCACATTCAAAGACGTGCATTTGTGTAGTATAAACCGTATTTGTCGCTCACAACTCCAACTGAGTTGTTCAGCTCCAGTTTTGGTTGCAACCGATCTGGCATTGACATATGGGTGACTAGTGAAGTGGCCAAAGCAAGTAATTGCTACCCTTGTACTATGTCGCAGATAGCAGGTGGAAGCAATGAAAACGGCTACCTTGGATATTTCTAATTTAGTTTTCCTAAGGCATGAATTTTCACATATTTTGTGAGGCTAAAAGGTTACTTCCAAGTGTTATTTCCGGGATTTCTTTAATCATTAGGGACGAATATGTGAACCTTAATCAATGGCAAGATTGTTCCAGTTTTGATCAGCTCAACCTTTGTGGGTGTGTTGTGTCTTTAGGCCTAATTCAATCCCCTGTATTACGAAAGTACCTGTATGTAAGAGCGAAACACAAACTCAGCTTACTAAATGAAATTTCGCTTCTCAGGTCGGAATAAAATGGAGCTGGCCGACAGCTGAACGTCTGCGGTAGGTAACAGGACACATGATTTATGGCCATTCATTGGTAGTCTGTTGAAATATCTAGTAGACGGAAGCTTTAACCGATGTTCGTGAACATTCCCCTGTAACTAGGTTGGTTTCTTAAGGGCGGACTAAATCATTCTCTCCGTTTCGATACAGGCTGACGTTCAATCTTGCCCAATTCGGAAGGCATAATGAATTATTCACATAAATCTGCTATTTGGTTAGTATTTCTATCCACTGAAGTCTCATGGGACCACATACAAGAACTTGCCTGCGTTGACAAACTGTACCATTTGTATGTCTTGGAATACTCTGTTTGCACCAAACATGGTTGGTTTCCTCTAAAACAAACGGTCCAATTTCTAGGTGACGAGCAACGGGAAGGACGAATTACGTTCCGTGGAAGTTCTTCAAATTCGCCAAGTCAGAAGTGTAATTCTGGATCTAAACAAATGAGTATAACTGAACAGCTTTGGAATACAATTTGTACATTAGGCGAAATGCACGGATGATTAGGTATTTTCTGCTCAGCACGGAATAACTAGTAGACGTGAAATACGTTTATAAGGCTGATATATTGGGCGGTGGAACAGACACTGTACTGTCTCAAAACTCTGGTATACCTCCTGAGAAGTGTTCGTGTCATGGAGCCTCTATGTGCACGGAATTCCACGAGCACGTTTATCACTGTTTTATCGAAATTTTGAGTGACGAACGGTCCATTTTGGATATGCGTTCCGGTGTTTTCATACATGGCACCCTTTTCGTCAGAGACTGAACCATCATTCCTTCATAAGTCTGATGATCCGAAATTCCATCACCTTATCACGCGCCCGAGTTTTACTCCTGCAAAGACAGTCAGGGGGTCTATATTCTTACATTCATTGGTGTCTGTTGAGATATCTAGTAGATGGAAGCTTTGACCGATGTTCGTGAACATTCCCCTGTAACTAGGTTGGTTTCTTAAGGGCGGACTAAATCATTCTCTCCGTTTCGATACAGGCTGACGTTCAATCTTGCCCAATTCGGAAGGCATAATGAATTATTCACATAAATCTGCTATTTGGTTAGTATTTCTATCCACTGAAGTCTCATGGGACCACATACAAGAACTTGCCTGCGTTGACAAACTGTACCATTTGTATGTCTTGGAATACTCTGTTTGCACCAAACATGGTTGGTTTCCTCTAAAACAAACGGTCCAATTTCTAGGTGACGAGCAACGGGAAGGACGAATTACGTTCCGTGGAAGTTCTTCAAATTCGCCAAGTCAGAAGTGTAATTCTGGATCTAAACAAATGAGTATAACTGAACAGCTTTGGAATACAATTTGTACATTAGGCGAAATGCACGGATGATTAGGTATTTTCTGCTCAGCACGGAATAACTAGTAGACGTGAAATACGTTTATAAGGCTGATATATTGGGCGGTGGAACAGACACTGTACTGTCTCAAAACTCTGGTATACCTCCTGAGAAGTGTTCGTGTCATGGAGCCTCTATGTGCACGGAATTCCACGAGCACGTTTATCACTGTTTTATCGAAATTTTGAGTGACGAACGGTCCATTTTGGATATGCGTTCCGGTGTTTTCATACATGGCACCCTTTTCGTCAGAGACTGAACCATCATTCCTTCATAAGTCTGATGATCCGAAATTCCATCACCTTATCACGCGCCCGAGTTTTACTCCTGCAAAGACAGTCAGGGGGTCTATATTCTTACTCTCTCGCACTTTTCCCCTGATGTAAGGAAGAAACACACTTATTCTCGTTTGTGGATGGAAATCACTCGGTCACCTTCGAAAGCGTGATGAAGGGTGCATTTATTCGCGTTGATGAACGACTTGACAGACAACCATTGAACCCCTTATGACCTCAGTCTAGTTCCAGTAGAGTTTTGTTTGATGGCGTTGTTGAGTCAACCAAATATGGTCTCGCGATTAAGTTAAGTCCGCTCATCAATAACGCGAATCCAATTTTATCAAGCCCAACACATATTTGTATGTGTCAGCATCTTGAGACGCATTCTGATAGCTGATGTCCCCAGATTTTGAAGTTGCAAACGGTGTGACGCGGTCGGCTCGTGTGTTCAGCTCTAGTGCTTCAGGGCACTTCCATTCCAATTGTGTCTTGAATCCTGACCGGAGCATTCGTGTCCCATCGAAGTTGATTTGATGGTTCAACTCAAGTGTGTGGGCTGCAGTGGCTGAGTCGCATTCAAGTTATTAAACTCAATTGGATTTTGTGGACGGAAGCGCGCACATGAGATGTTCAGGTGTCTGGCCTATGTATTTGGTCGGACATTTGTACAGGGAATTTAGTAGACACAGTTGGTACTGTGTTTCTCTTTGATAGGGTCCTCAGACAGTTACAAGGTGTCACTGAATGATACTTAGAAGGGTATTTTAATCCCGAATTATCTTTCGGTTGACGTCGGATGTGCTACGCCTGTAACGTGGGCCCATGGGTTCTTGTCTCTCTGTCTTAGCACTTCAGGTAGCCTTCCCCGTAATTGTTGGATAATGGGTATATGTAGAAACTAAGTAGAACTACCCAATTCGTTCCATTTTTCAACTCTTTGACAGCCACTGAACTTGAAGTAGGAGTGTTTTTCCCCTATTTTCGTGTCGGCAATTTTCTTCTCCGGTCATCTGTTAGTTCGTAAATTTGTTGTCCCACATTCTCGTCAAATGTCAACGTTAGTCAGGTAGTACGTGTTCTGTCAGAAAGCATTAGCAGCAATCCAGAATCAAGATTCATTCATTTTTTGTGCTGATCATTGATGCTAGTCTGTCGACCCTGGTTGTATGTGACTAAATTAGTGGTCTGTGTGCTTTGTCGACAGTCCAATTCATCATCTTGAGATAATGCAATGAATTGCCTGTGACAGTTGCTACCTCTGTTTTTTTGGTTTCCAGACAATCCGTCGGTGCTCAGTGAAGAAACTCGTCAACTAGAATCACCACCACGAATTTTTCAGTCGAAATCTGGTGGTTGTATTTCTAACCCATGTGTGTGACACTTATTTGACACTTTCATTGACATTCTACAGTCACTACTTCATGCAACACACCATTGTTTCCCTTTTCCCGAAAACGATGACGCTACCGGTGGTCAGCTTTGTCTATTGCTTCCGGATTGCTTCTTCTCATGCCACTGAATACGGCTTATAATAACTGCCTTCTACCATTCCATGGTTTAATGCTATAGGACGCGACTTTGGGATCTCCAACGTATTATGTACAGCTTCAGTTCCTCGAGTTTTCATATTTTATCGCACCGGTTTACGAGAGAGATCGAGTGTTCTCTTCATTCTTGCGTGTCAGACATTATGGAACTCCTGAGAAGGGAGAATGCAAAATATAGGATGTATTGTTTTGACCATACTCACACAGACGTATGGCAGATAATACTATCATCAGGGAAGCAAACCAAAATTTAATGAATCGCAATTCTTTGCTTCGCGTGTTGCGTAACAGTTAACTTTCGGCCTAAACTAGAACAGACCGGAGCTTACCCGGACTTGCCCAGGAACATGCGCCTTTCTACTTGGAGCACCTGGCCTGTCAGTTGATCGAAGTAAGGCAAGCGTAAGCTCGAAAGCCCGCCTTATTAACCTGAAGACATATCCAAGCCACTGATGGTCCCAGAACACTGTCCGGAGTTGTACTCCGAAATTTACACCGGAAGCTACAAGCATTTCCTTAGTTCGGTCTGATCAACCAGAACTGACAGAAAAGTTTCGCACAAAAGGCCTGAGAGTGGCGGTAGAATAGTGGATCCGATTGTTTTATTGTTAGGTTAGTTCTCTCTAGCGAATTTCCCTTTAAAGGTTATTTATGTATGCATTGAAACATCAGCTCTCTGCGCCAATATACCAAAACCCAGCACAAAAGCTATCGGATTGTCATCGGGTTACTCACACAAGTTGCATGGATTGGGTGACGCGAAGTTTAACCTTAAGAACTTAACTGATAGCTTCATCAAATCTCTAAGTGCACCTTTGGACGCTTTGATACTGATGCCATCGATCGCCATTTTACCAAAGTTCGAGGACAGCTAACAATCAAACATTCTTAGAAGTACAGGCCAGTCAACAAAAGTCGACACGGAAAGTCCGCTTTCCATTGCACTTTTACCCCCCTCCCCCCACAGCACCATAACTTCCATTAATCATATCTAGGTCATAAGCGTTGGTCAGTTTGACCTTTCGATTTTTTATGAACTTTCTGCTCAGTTAAAGCCGTAAGGCTGCTGACGTAGCTCAAACCTATTTATCACACGGTGCCTCAGTTCAGCATTCTATTGGCATGCTTGGCTCTACAAAGACGATTAAGTTAATAAAGGTTTAGCTGAAGATTTTTGGCCGGTTTGATCACTGATCTCGCCAAAATCAAACATTACTTTTACTATACGCCTTCATAGCGGGGAGCAGTTATGGTGGTTTCACAAAGGTCAGATTCCTGAAAATGACTCGAGGATGCCCAATACCTACTGAGACCCTAAAGCCCCACCAAAATCTCACAAGGTAAGCCGGCAAGCATCCAGACCAGTCAGTCATTTAGTCAATTCAGCAAAAGCCCATGAGTGTTCAGGCACGCCATAGAAGCACGGCCGATGTTGATCGGTATTCAGTACACGGGACCAGGCAGCGTGAATCAATGGCAAAAGGTGCTTTTTAAATAGCGGGAGACCGTTGTAACTTCTGCACTCATTTGTTCGCAATAAACCTGTTGTGTTCTTTGTTGGTGAGTTTTTTCCCGACACAAAGGCACTGGAATGGGGACACCAGTTAGACATAACAATTGGTTTCCACGAGAGACTCAAGTGAATCTCTCGTTTATGATGTTCTTTAACTGAATGTGCTGCATATTAGTGCACAGGTGACGATAGTCATAGTACAAATCAGAAGGTGAATGTGCACTAATAGAAGTTTTTGTATGGTTGCGACATGTATAAAAATAAATACAATGTGAAATGGGAGCAAGTCAAAAAGGGAACTTATCGGATGCGAGAGTCCCTTGGTGGAAGTCCGGACGGCGGGAACGTGTTTTTCTCCGCAGTTAGACTGCTACACGTACTCCATGGTTGTCCGTGGACTTGTGGAGAGGTTGACGTCCTGCTCCCTGCGCGCGCGCGAGTCTGTGTGTCTTGACTGGGTTCGGTTTGCCTTTATGTAGGTCCCAGTGCGTGTATGTGGGCGCGTCGGCACATGAGTGGTTGCTGCGCTGACTAGGCGGTGCAGACAATCGATGTCCGATGGGCCAGCTTAATGCGACGTGTTTGTGAGTGTGAGAAAAAGACAAGCCTCGCGATCCAGTGAGCGACTGTGAGTTGAACAGTCAAGTATGTGGGTGACTGGGTCGCTACACTGCACACAGGCCACCTTATGTTTCGCAGTACATTTTCATAAAGGAAACTACTCACAAGGTTTCTGAAAAACCCTTCGACAGCCCAGGTAGAACATGAGGTTGACGGAGACTCGAGGACTGCGCCTACCTGAACTGCGCCTACCATAAACAAGAGATTCACTCCAGTCTCCCGTGAAAACCAAATTGATTTGCAAATGATTGTACTTGTCACAGCCAGTCTAATTTGGGTTCAAGTAGAACATAAGTTTTACGGAGACTCGAGGGTTGCGCCTACCTGATGAGCCCCAAGTAGGGCGAAACCGGTCGTGGGATGTCGAAGAGTTTTCAGCAGCCTTGTGAGGTGGATAGGGACCTATTCGGCAGATATTAACTTTGCATGAATCTCCGTTGGCAGCGTTTGCCTTTACCTTACTTGCGGGGCAAACCACGTCATGTCAGCAGTTTATGATTGCCTCTTCCTTCCAAATACTGAAGATACATCCACTTGCTCAGTTAAGCAAGTAGTGGTGGTGCAGACTAGTTGGGTTTCTCTTCACTCACCACGAAACCAAAAAACCTGTGTTCTGATTCATCCCATGCAAGTTGTATTGCCGCTCAAACGAGCTTTGTAACTACACGCTCATTCACAGAGTCAGTATTATTTTACTTTTCCCTGTCACAACTGGTCTGAAGCCATTTCTAGTGACGGCTCCCGCTACCTTTTTCAGTTCCCATATCAGGAGATGGTAGTTATTAGCCAGCTGAAAGTTTTTGTTCGTATGATAAAAAGACTACCGAGTTGAAACCGATGAGATACAAGAAAACAACGAGCCAAGAACTTTTTGATGTCACGATCTATTTAACGTCACAATAAAGCGTACAGTCGTATGTGGTATAACGATGGTGCTTTACCTGAACGACAACGCACATTAAAAGCGTGTCACTTTGCTAAGATAAGGGTTAAAATTTCCGTGGAAGCCCCTGGGTATCAGAAAGCAAGAGCGACGTTATAGTGATTGAAAGGGGAATGAGTATGTACTTCTGCTTTGTTCCTTGAAAGATTGATTAGGATAAGTCTACAAGTTAGTCAGCGAAGTCAACCACCCCGCAGACTCCGTCCACTTCGCTGATGGTGCCAGTCAGTGTTCTTGTATTTCCTAGCCACACCCATTCAGTTACAGTCTGGAATTTTTTTGCCCTGCAGAAAAAATCGTCCTTTCCATTCGGATAATAGAACCGCTTACATATCGTTTACTGGATATAAACTTCAATGAAGGAAGACTTATTTCACACGAAAATATTGCTCGAAACTGAATTGTGACCAAGTACAGAAAAAAGGGCATGTATTTCCATTTGTAACACTTCTGCAAGCTGTTTCGAAACAAGCATTGACTCAGATAAAAAGAGTCTACATCACAAAGAAACTACCAGTAATAAGCAAAACTAGAAAAGTTGCCTTACTATCAGACAAAACATCCCCAGAAGTGCTGCCTGTTCACATCAAACTGTATTCGTCAGACAAAACCCAGAAGTGCTGCCTGTTCACATCAAACTGTATTCCCTCCTTCACCTACATCAGGGTTTATATAAACATGTGAATGACCGACCGAAGGCTCGGATAGCACACCAACAGACACCTCCGCTCATATGCAGCACTGTCCATCCACATTCGTTCGGTGAATTCAGCCCACTTTACTGTCGGACAAAACATCAATTTTGGCCATCGCACAAGTAATTGAAAGCCCTCTATCCATTGGATTTATTGACTTTTTTGAAAAGCACACGCTGGACTAACTTTGTGCACTGAACTCACGGAACCCATAACTCCATTGTGTGCAACATTTCCACTTTGACAGACAACAAACAGAGGAAGTCATATTGTGCGAATCGCTTCCAATGAGTTAATACCTTGGCCATTGTAGTGTTGTGAATGGGCTAAATTAGACTGATCAAGCTGAATTAAAAAAGGGTGAGAAGACTTGACTATTCGGATGCAATATCACCTTATGGATTCTGACTGGAATCACCCTGAGTATGAAAAGATTGAACTGTGAATGTGCTTTCTTGGCGCCTCTGAGGTTTCGGGAAACGAACCAGATTACTGTAACATCAGGATGTGACAACACGGATGCAATTGCATTATTTTTCCAACTTCGATTGTCACATAATATCTGCGTAGAGTTCGGTATGAACTGCTATCATACCGATTTACTGTTCCCGAGTTAAAAGGAGATAACATCCTGATGGAAAATTTCAAACCATACAAAAGTGTCAAACGCTTAGAGAATATACACTCATTTGTAAACTAATTTGGTTCTTTCGAGAGACTCACATGGAACCCAGCTGAATCTCTCGTTTATGATGTTCTCAGGCAACTGAATGTGCTGCACCAGGCCGCCTCATGTTTCAGTCGCTACGATATTTGAAGTATCGCAATACATATACATCTTTGTAATGTACTACTCATAAGGTTGCTGTCAAACGCTTAGTTTATTGAAACTGACAGTGATATGATTACATGGGCAGCCACTTCTTCAAATGGAATCCAACGGGATACATCCGTTATTAGGCATTTTTCGCTCTGGACTGATATTGGCAAACAAGTTGTGGATAACCTCGCGAATGGCGACGACCAGTGGGATGCGGTGAACGTGAACCACTTAACCCTGGAGTTGGGGTCTTTCTTCGCAACAGCAATAGCGGCTCGATGATACACTTACTCTGAGGAACACATCCTGTAATATAGCAGAGGAAAAGAGAGATACAAGTATTTTCTCAAGAAGGCTTAGAAATCGAAATAATAACAGGGCACTGAAAGGTTTTTCGTATATGCCTACGCAATGGCATGTAAATCAACACGTCTCTGATTACCCTATGATCCATGAGGAAAGACAGTCTCAGATCCTTTGTCCCAACTCTGAGTTATAATGTCACTCAGCAAGTTAAAACACTAATAATTTTATTCGTAGACGAATGTGGGTCAAGGATTGCGCGATTTAGCTTGCAACTGATGGCTCAAGGACTGAATATCGGCAATATTAGTCACAAACAAACACTTTCATTTGCGAAACTAATCTCAAGGTCTGAGAGCACCGAATGTGTTCCATTTGGTTGGAAATAGCGATTTTCTTTTGTTGTCCAGCTTGTATGATTATGTCAGGACGGGCCCAGACATGGAAAAGTACATATGCAGAGAGTGAGGCATTCCCAAGGTCACCATCGGCAGGACACGTCCAGAAAGCAGGTGCGTTGGCGGAGCTCACCAAACACGGCTTAGCAACATGAGACCAGTGGAATGGGGCTGAAATTGTTCACGACCGGAACACCGACATTGGCTGTACAGAACGAACAAGTGAACGGCCATATTTGACCATTTAGTCATCTTATATACTTACGCAGAAGCTCTGTATGTTTTGTCCTGACAATACAGCCGAGTCNGGACTGCGCCTACCTGAACTGCGCCTACCATAAACAAGAGATTCACTCGAGTCTCCCGTGAAAACCAAATTGATTTGCAAATGATTGTACTTGTCACAGTCAGTCTAATTTGGGTTCAAGTAGAACATAAGTTTTACGGAGACTCGAGGGTTGCGCCTACCTGATGAGCCCCAAGTAGGGCGAAACCGGTCGTGGGATGTCGAAGAGTTTTCAGCAGCCTTGTGAGGTGGATAGGGACCTATTCGGCAGATATTAACTTTGCATGAATCTCCGTTGGCAGCGTTTGCCTTTACCTTACTTGCGGGGCAAACCACGTCATGTCAGCAGTTTATGATTGCCTCTTCCTTCCAAATACTGAAGATACATCCACTTGCTCAGTTAAGCAAGTAGTGGTGGTGCAGACTAGTTGGGTTTCTCTTCACTCACCACGAAACCAAAAAACCTGTGTTCTGATTCATCCCATGCAAGTTGTATTGCCGCTCAAACGAGCTTTGTAACTACACGCTCATTCACAGAGTCAGTATTATTTTACTTTTCCCTGTCACAACTGGTCTGAAGCCATTTCTAGTGACGGCTCCCGCTACCTTTTTCAGTTCCCATATCAGGAGATGGTAGTTATTAGCCAGCTGAAAGTTTTTGTTCGTATGATAAAAAGACTACCGAGTTGAAACCGATGAGATACAAGAAAACAACGAGCCAAGAACTTTTTGATGTCACGATCTATTTAACGTCACAATAAAGCGTACAGTCGTATGTGGTATAACGATGGTGCTTTACCTGAACGACAACGCACATTAAAAGCGTGTCACTTTGCTAAGATAAGGGTTAAAATTTCCGTGGAAGCCCCTGGGTATCAGAAAGCAAGAGCGACGTTATAGTGATTGAAAGGGGAATGAGTATGTACTTCTGCTTTGTTCCTTGAAAGATTGATTAGGATAAGTCTACAAGTTAGTCAGCGAAGTCAACCACCCCGCAGACTCCGTCCACTTCGCTGATGCTGCCAGTCAGTGTTCTTGTATTTCCTAGCCACACCCATTCAGTTACAGTCTGGAATTTTTTTGCCCTGCAGAAAAAATCGTCCTTTCCATTCGGATAATAGAACCGCTTACATATCGTTTACTGGATATAAACTTCAATGAAGGAAGACTTATTTCACACGAAAATATTGCTCGAAACTGAATTGTGACCAAGTACAGAAAAAAGGGCATGTATTTCCATTTGTAACACTTCTGCAAGCTGTTTCGAAACAAGCATTGACTCAGATAAAAAGAGTCTACATCACAAAGAAACTACCAGTAATAAGCAAAACTAGAAAAGTTGCCTTACTATCAGACAAAACATCCCCAGAAGTGCTGCCTGTTCACATCAAACTGTATTCCCTCCTTCACCTACATCAGGGTTTATATAAACATGTGAATGACCGAAAGGTGGCTCGGATAGCACACCAACAGACACCTCCGCTCATATGCAGCACTGTCCATCCACATTCGTTCGGTGAATTCAGCCCACTTTACTGTCGGACAAAACATCAATTTTGGCCATCGCACAAGTAATTGAAAGCCCTCTATCCATTGGATTTATTGACTTTTTTGAAAAGCACACGCTGGACTAACTTTGTGCACTGAACTCACGGAACCCATAACTCCATTGTGTGCAACATTTCCACTTTGACAGACAACAAACAGAGGAAGTCATATTGTGCGAATCGCTTCCAATGAGTTAATACCTTGGCCATTGTAGTGTTGTGAATGGGCTAAATTAGACTGATCAAGCTGAATTAAAAAAGGGTGAGAAGACTTGACTATTCGGATGCAATATCACCTTATGGATTCTGACTGGAATCACCCTGAGTATGAAAAGATTGAACTGTGAATGTGCTTTCTTGGCGCCTCTGAGGTTTCGGGAAACGAACCAGATTACTGTAACATCAGGATGTGACAACACGGATGCAATTGCATTATTTTTCCAACTTCGATTGTCACATAATATCTGCGTAGAGTTCGGTATGAACTGCTATCATACCGATTTACTGTTCCCGAGTTAAAAGGAGATAACATCCTGATGGAAAATTTCAAACCATACAAAAGTGTCAAACGCTTAGAGAATATACACTCATTTGTAAACTAATTTGGTTCTTTCGAGAGACTCACATGGAACCCAGCTGAATCTCTCGTTTATGATGTTCTCAGGCAACTGAATGTGCTGCACCAGGCCGCCTCATGTTTCAGTCGCTACGATATTTGAAGTATCGCAATACATATACATCTTTGTAATGTACTACTCATAAGGTTGCTGTCAAACGCTTAGTTTATTGAAACTGACAGTGATATGATTACATGGGCAGCCACTTCTTCAAATGGAATCCAACGGGATACATCCGTTATTAGGCATTTTTCGCTCTGGACTGATATTGGCAAACAAGTTGTGGATAACCTCGCGAATGGCGACGACCAGTGGGATGCGGTGAACGTGAACCACTTAACCCTGGAGTTGGGGTCTTTCTTCGCAACAGCAATAGCGGCTCGATGATACACTTACTCTGAGGAACACATCCTGTATTATAGCAGAGGAAAAGAGAGATACAAGTATTTTCTCAAGAAGGCTTAGAAATCGAAATAATAACAGGGCACTGAAAGGTTTTTCGTATATGCCTACGCAATGGCATGTAAATCAACACGTCTCTGATTACCCTATGATCCATGAGGAAAGACAGTCTCAGATCCTTTGTCCCAACTCTGAGTTATAATGTCACTCAGCAAGTTAAAACACTAATAATTTTATTCGTAGACGAATGTGGGTCAAGGATTGCGCGATTTAGCTTGCAACTGATGGCTCAAGGACTGAATATCGGCAATATTAGTCACAAACAAACACTTTCATTTGCGAAACTAATCTCAAGGTCTGAGAGCACCGAATGTGTTCCATTTGGTTGGAAATAGCGATTTTCTTTTGTTGTCCAGCTTGTATGATTATGTCAGGACGGGCCCAGACATGGAAAAGTACATATGCAGAGAGTGAGGCATTCCCAAGGTCACCATCGGCAGGACACGTCCAGAAAGCAGGTGCGTTGGCGGAGCTCACCAAACACGGCTTAGCAACATGAGACCAGTGGAATGGGGCTGAAATTGTTCACGACCGGAACACCGACATTGGCTGTACAGAACGAACAAGTGAACGGCCATATTTGACCATTTAGTCATCTTATATACTTACGCAGAAGCTCTGTATGTTTTGTCCTGACAATACAGCCGAGTCCCGAGTTCCTCTTCTTTGCCTTATCGCGTAGTCTGGCAGGCTCAGTACAGGCGTAACCAATAGACGGCTACCCACGATACAACGGATTAAAAATGAAAAGTTTAAGCTGTGGGCGAATCAGGGATGATTTAAGATTCTGGTCTTTGAAAATTCATAGGGTTGGTGCTACGGGGCGAATGTTATTTTCACCTAAGCTTCTTACATTTAGTAAAAATGACACCATTCTACACAGATAAGTGCATCTTTAGAAAATTTCCGGAATACAAAACCAATAAATTTCCGTTACTCTTTAACCGGAACGCACTTTAAAGTATCGCGGACAAAAAACAAGTGTCGATCAGTATGGAAGCTTCAGTATGGAAGCGGAAAACCATGACAGAATACAGGGACGAAACAGTAAATATTCTGAACAGGGGCGCACACTCCTCCTATCACGGCAGTGACTGTCTTTAAATGATGTTTAACAACGTTCACAAAGTTTCAGTTTTTAAAACGAGGTAGTTCAGTCCATGAAACACTACGGGACATATTTCGGGAATAGGCATAGTCCTGTAAAGTTACAGCTGCATAAGGAGCATTTTCAGTTGACATCACGTTTTGCTTTCCCCCGGTGTCAAAATTACCGCGTAAGAACGTGCTAGTAGCTGAGCCGTTCACAACGTATCAAAATGTCTCGCAGTAGGGCAGCTGCAGAAAGCTCCATTCAGTGTCTAGTGACATAGAAGCCAAGAACAGACCGAGGCAACCTTTTTTGGAGGAAATATGCCCGCTTGTCACGCTTTTTGTTAGAAATAAAAGGAAAAGAGTCGGTTTGCACATCACTGTTCCTGAGAGATCTACTTGTTAGACCGGGGTTCTTCAAGGTCCACTCATCAGAGTCCTATACCTCGGTGTCATGAATATTCTGTTGTCCGGTTTCAGTATTGAGAGGCCACTTCCGAACTTCTGAAATGTATCAGGAGCTATGTTCTTTAATTTTGTAGAAGCCCATATTTTTGTTATGACCACCAAAGATCAAAGCCAAGCGGTTAGGGCCGCTTAAAGTATTAAATTGCGGGCTTATTATGTACTACTGAATAACACCGAGTAGTGTATTCCAAACGTTGTAATTGCATGTGCCCTAGATATGGAGTAGCATACAGTGGAAGGCGTTTGGAAGCAAGCGATCCGTGGATTTACTGCTGGGAAATGTTGGTAAGGTTGATCTGACTGTAAGGCAGCGGAGAACCAATTAGTAAGGTTTATTACAACTGGTCTACCTAATCCGTGCAAGATGGTAGTTAGAAGTTCTTGTTTGCTGGTTGGTGTGAATGACTAGCCATTACGGCAGATCGATTGGAAGGGAATTACGACCAAGTTGAACCAGAATTTTGGGGCCTTTCTCTTCCGTCTTAGGGCACTTTAATGGACTGTTATCCTTGGGTGTCGTTCAAATCCTTTATCATCTGTGTGTGTTATAGGGTGCTAGGATTGCGGTTGGGGAGTTTACGTGGATTTTACTCTGCTTGGCTTTCGTAATTTGGACCCAGACCACATCCGTGGTAACCGCACTCCGTCATGCGTCAGCTCGGCTGCTCTAAAACGACTATCCACACTCCTACAAATTCAAATTAGGCTGGAATACCTGGAGATTCCCACTGCGTCAGCCATCCGATAAGAAAAGAGTGATAATCGAACTGAGTGAACTGACAAAACAGGATGTGTATGTAAAAATCCATGCATGTGTGTTTACACAGCTAAATAACTACTACACTGTATAGTGCAAATAAACCAATAGTTGAAGAAATGAGTGAAAATACAACGACGGAGCCGATTAAGGAATTAACATGAAAAAGTATCTCTGTGCTGGGAGGCTCCGAAAACTGAATAATATCTGGACTTGAAGAAAAAACAGTAAACGTGTGGTCAGTGCTGGCATACTACGATCCACAACTACTGCTTGCCGTACAGTCAACCAGACCTTGGTGCAGTATTTATGTGGCAAGGATATTACTGTAAAAGAGAATCTGAAACCTGACAGGCAGTGCATACGTAGGCAGACAGAAGGAATTTTCGGAACTCGTCTTTGTCCTGGGACCATCCACTGAGTAAACTTTCCGCAGAAAAGTTGTGCTGGTGGGAGTAGCGAAAAATACACTAAGTGACGTGCCAATATGTTTCCGGGACATGGTGAGCGGATTAAACTACTACATCCGAGTTGTCATGACAACTAGGTAAACAAACGTTTGAAGGGACTAGAGGTACCCGTGAAAACCATGAGAATAACGAAGGTGGGAGAAAGCTTTTTCATGTGATTGATTATGTTGGCTACTATATCACAGACTTAAAAGATGTCATTCAAAAGTTACACAGAAGTACCTGACACACCGCCTTGAAAGCGTGCTCTTTTTCAGTGAAATTGGACCCGTATGGCTACATCATCCCACGAAAAATTTAGTTCTCCGTCGTGCTCAGTTTTACGAGTAAGCCATGCATCAGTGTGGACTGAAATGCAACTGTTCATGCGTTTAGTTGATATTGTGAACGGCGATCTTCACATTCAGATATCTGAAACTATCGCGACTGACACGAATGTAGCCCGATTGCCTGTCTAAAATTCTGTGGAAAAGGGAGTCTCCACTGTCTTCTGTCGGTCTACTAACAATTTCGTTCCACAAGCTTGTTACGTTACTTACTCATTTGGTTCCGCGACCCATTAATCTGTGTACCTTTCCTCACTTTTTGGAATGGGTGCCCATGAACTCTTTACCCGTGATTTCTGAGTAGCATCATATAAATCTGTCATGACGGTAACATGGAGTTTGATTTGCTATGGGTGAAATGTGCATAATGACAAACGAAATGGTTTAATGTGGCGGCTGGCAAGATTGTCGGTATCGAAGCCTAACCTAACACATAGGCCACGGTGGTGCTTCAGTCACTTTTGGAGTGCACCATAAACGGCTTTTTATATGTGTTCAAGCCGAACCGAGTCAGTGCCTTATCTTTGAGGTCAAGTGGATTTCCAACCGATATAGATGTTTCGCTATGCATGTACTTTTAGATTGTCAGCCATCCAAATATCTGTAAACGATGTCGAGTTTCACATGCCTCACAATGCTAACTGAAACACTTTAACATAAAAAACCGCTGCACGATAGACTGAGTGGACGAGGACTTTGTGTCTTATGAAAGTGAACTATGAGACGTTTAAGGCGACATCCTTTCAACACTATACGGTTGCAATCGAACGTTGGGACGATAGTAGAAATGGCGAAATGTGTTTCTTCACTTACGTCTAATCCGATGTGTACCTACGGATAAATATTGGTGAAAATGGAGATCACTTCAGAGTGATGAGCCCCGAAACGGCGACGGAACACTCAAACATCTTATGATAATCTGTCAGAGTTTGCGGTTCATGGTGGTTCGCTTTTTTAGGTTTAAACTGAGTGTACTGTATTTAAGCACCACAGTTCTAATACACTTTTTGTGAACCACTATCCTCCTTCATTTTTACAGCATCAGGTGTTATAGCTGTGTCAAGATTGATAGGAAGCCGGATGATAACCTTTGGTTTGAGCTCGCCCAAGCTTGTCACTTGCTTCCTTATAGTCTTGTAAAATCGAGTGGTTACTCACCAGAATAAAGCCATATCTTCGCAATTTGGTTTGATCATATTCGACTCCTAGAGCTCTTGCCTAGAGAAACTTAGTTATCCGTAGATGACAATTTATATATGCATCTTGATTTCAAACCTTTGTTTGCGCACCCAAGCAGGTACCTGAACCTTGTATATTACACACCCGCTCACTATCATTTATGTCTGCTTTGGGGGCCAGGCCTTTGCGGCGAGTAGACAGTATTCTAGTCTTGCTTGTGAAGCATTATATAGTTGGTCACTGCCCTTTAACACGTAGTGTTGTGGGAATCTAAACACTATGGGCACAAAGCTGCTTTTGATTGGATAAATGCTGCAAAACGAATTTGACGGTGACGATAAGGGTTCTTGTGGAAGCTATTGGCTGACTGATCACGATGTATGCACCAGATAAATATCTCATAATGAAGTTCGCAGAATTCACCTATATCACCCACTAACCCTCCACAGACAGGTGGTCATGACCCATGCATGATGTATCACCTAGTGAGAAGTTACCTTGTTCACTGTCTTTAGTTTAATCAGTTTTGGTAGACACCTTAAAATAAGTCGTACCAAATTACTCCGTGTTTCGTAACAAGGCACCGTCAAGCTAGATTTAACTGGTACGAAGATGAGATGATGGACACACATAACCATTGCTTTTTGTCAGGTTTCGAAACCGTCGCCATTTGAGCCGGTTACAATTATTCAGAAATTGTTCACATCTCGTCGAGAGCTTCCTAAGACTGGTGAGACTGGTTCAAGCTGCCCTGTCTTGCACGTGAGACACCCAGCATATGACGCACCTCAGCATTGATGTACAACGGCTGCGATTGCACCAGCCCCATTTCAGAGACCTTTTAGCGTATCTCAGTGCTACCTAAGCGGGAAATAAGCCTCCGCCCCTGTAAGAGTTACTGCTGTGCAGTGTATCGGGACAAAAATCCACACTCTGTTCGATGTTTCACGTATTCTCATTCTTCTTTAAGCTTCAGCGTTTCGCCTCTGCAAATGAAACCAGTGTTCAGTGAGATGAGTCTGTCATCACTGGAACCTGACACGTGCTCCCAGCCGGGCCAGACAAATGCTCGTACAAAATGAACAGATCCTGAACAAGTGAAGGCATTTTGCGCACTAGCTTGCGTGCATAGAGCGGGATGGAGCAGGCCGCGAAAATGACACTCTGTCGGATGCGTTGTCATGGTGTACCGGTAATCCCTGCACTTTGGTTTATTTGTCGTCACGACTTTAATGCTGGAGGAGAAGGTTCACAGTCGACTGGCGGTCCGATAAAGAGGAATGGGTTATAGGTATGTATCAGTACACTTAGGCTTGGAATAAAACGCACCTGTGCGTAGGGGGTTGCAGTTTTGAGGGATTCATTGGTATGATCACCGATAGAAATACTAACGCCCGGTCATCGTATGACCGTGTCAAATTACATGAATAATGCTCCACAGTCGGATACTCCGACTACCGGAGGACACAGTTAACTCTAACTGGAGTAGCATTCCGCGAATCGGAGGATATCGGTGTCAGGACCACTAATCTCACAGTCTATCCTCTTCAGACAAACATGGCACAAGCTTGGTGATTTTGACTCTAGTTCACTGAAGAGGCAAAATTTTTGTTGCAGGAAGATTCATTTTCAAAGTACACGAAAAATTCCAATTTCGCTTCAACAGATTCCCCTACAAGCCTTTCTGCATAAAACGGCCATTGATTTGTGGAAAGATTACCAACCACATAAAGTCAAAGTAAGTAGCAGGATAGGCTGTGAAGTAGTTAAATCTTCAATTTCCATCCTTCTTTACAGTGAAGTCGGTCTATAATGAAACCTTATGGGTTGGTATGGATTTATTTCAATTGCGGAATAAAATATCGACCGGAAAAATGGTACTAATGTAGCACTGGTTTTGGTTCGTACATTTGTATTTCCCTCCGATTAAGTCAGTCGACTGCGTTGAGATTGCGTAGAGAACTTAGGGTCAAAGTACCAGTCCCAAGTTAAACAGAGTGAAAAAATACAGCAAGAAATACCCATGGTCTAGTAGTACGTGGTCATCCATACATATAATAATACATTTCCTCCACATATCTGGTTCCGGAAGTTCAACTTCCCAAAAGACCGAGCTGCCATGATAGGGATTGTTCCACAACCACTAACCCACCGCTACGCACAACTACGCACTGATGATGTCACCTCGATTGGTGATGAAACGTTTGCAACCAAATTGTCCAGCCTAGCGAACAAGCCAACGACCATCTACGCTACCTGAGCTACCGACATTCTCCTCTATAGAAAATTGATCCACTCAGTCTACAGCCACATATCCATTCACGCACCACCAGCGTTTGCTATTAGTTCAACTAGTACAAGTCGCCTTCAAACAGACACAGACTAACGTATGTGAAGGAATGATCAATCCGATTAATCCGTACACATTTATCTCGTACATCACTACACCCATCAGCATAGACTAACGTATGTGAAGGAATGATCTCGTACATCACTACACCCATCAGCATAACCGGCACGAAACAACATCCTAAATCACAAAATCCAACGGACATAGTGAAGAAACTAAAACTGAATAGACGGCCACATTCCCAACAACGAGGACTGATTTCATTGAGCAGGCTCCTTACCAAGAAACCGTGGTGTTCTTTGTGTCCGTACAAATTTTACGACGTGTTTTATTATCCACCAACGTCGGTGACTATTATGAAGCCTTATTTCGACCATCTATGTCCCAAAACAACAGTAGGTGGACCGAGTAGGTGAAGACCGAGCTGGACATTCCACTGCTACGGCCAAACGAGTGAAAATCGGTTGATTCACCTGAGAACTATGGGCTAATTTGAGCATTCGATCAAGTGAGAAAATCGGTGCTCCTCGAATTGCCTATATTGCAGTTTGGAAGTAACCCGCACCACTTCGTGTATCGAGCTAACCGAAAACAGGCTGCATAAGTGTAAACAATGAAATGGCGCGTAGACTATCAAACAAATTGGTGCATAGCTGAAGCGTCTCAAGATTCCGATGAAGTGGTTTAGTCTTCACAAGGCCAGTTACTCCATTGAACCGATTAAGCAAGCTAAAGGGAAAAAACTGTGGTAGCATGTTCTCTTCTGGGTCAGAACAAAAGCACAGCCAAGTTAATCGAAGCCAAGTGGAACCGTGCACATGACTGGTAACACAAGACCAGGATCCAGACAAATTAAATATTTAGGCATGCAAGGGAACAAAAATTCACCGTCAAGAAAAACATTTTGCAAGAATTATGTTACCAAGAAAAAAGTCTTGGACTGGAATGTTTTTGACAATATTGAGATTATGTCGCCATCCACCGGGCGAATAATTCGGTCCGAAGAGTTCATTGGAAGTGCGAAACTCAAAATTGGACATTGATGGTTAAAATGATACACAAAACGCCATAGAACAGCACAAAACAAGATCTTTGGTAGCCACATGAAGGTATCTCAGGAAACAAGAAGTTACATGCATCTTGGTATCGGTGCGGTTCACGTGTGCTGGAAAATCACATTGAGGTGCTATCAGTTCTCGTCTTCTGGCTGATTTCTGCCCGGCTAGTAGCCAGCTCCTTATGATACTGTTTCATCAATTCGAGGACGTTGGTTGCTGAAAAAGTGCTTCCGGAATTTCCTAGGCCAACAGAGGGTGGACGACTTGGTACCCCTGCCACTGCTGCTCCGGAAACGGAAACGTCAACAGGAAATTTAGTTAAGCTACCCCGGGTCAATTTCTCGTTTTGAATTTCGGTCGAACATTGCCCCCGAGAGTCTGCTTCATCACAGTTGCTTGTTCCAAACTGCGAAATCCACGGATCCAGAAGCAGTTCTGATGCAGAATACCGGTAGGCAGGATCCATATGAAGGATACGGAGCAAGCAGGATTGAGCAAGTGGAGTGATATAGCGTAAAGATAAAATATGCGAACGAATTTCTGAGGCGTTCATCTGCTCAAGTAACTGCTCCTCCGTCTGAGCCGTAAAGGGGATCTGGCGAGTCAGCAGTTGATAAGTAAGTATTCCAAGACTCCAAACATCACACTGACGAGTATAGGAGCGACCCGATAACACCTCTGGGGCCATATACAGAGGGGTGCCACAAGGATTTCCAAGTGGCTCTTCGTTTTTCCGCACCTCAATGGCCAAACCAAAGTCAATTATCTTCGTCCTAATTTGAAGGGGCAACGGCGATGTGTGCGTTGGTCGGGATACACCGTTTGCGCTAGTCGGTGCGGAAGGTGCATACCTGCGTGCTCGATCCTCAGGCGCTTGGGTCAAAAGTGAGGATGCTGAGGCTGGATGCTTTCCAGACCCCCGAAGATATCGCGGCCGTGAGAGTCCTCGGTTTTGTGGATTTCGTTGTACTTGTGTGAGGTCCACATCAGTAATAACGGGGACGGAACGAACATTAATGATTTTCCGAGCGTTGTAAGCTTCAAGATCAGACCGGCTGTCTTTGGTTGTTGGTTTGTCGCAAGATAGTTTCCGATAACTCAGATTTACCTTGTGTAGAAGCATAATATTACATGGTTTTAAGTCACGATGTATAATTCCACGATTGTGCAGATATGACAAAGCAGCCGTGACCTGCCTGAGTATTTCCACAACAACGTTCTCTTCCAAGCCCGTCTTAGAGGGAAGATTCTCAAGACAATGAGCGAGGCTACTGCCTTCACAAAGTTCTGTTATCAGAAAGAGTATTGAAGGCGACTCTGCTACAGCATACAACTCAATAATACCGGGGTGACGTACAAGTCGAAGTATGGAGATCTCACGATCCAGCCTGGCTCGCTCACTAGCCGAGAACGTTCTTTCACGAAGTATCTAAAGAAGTTCAGAACATGTTAACAAATAAAATTAAGTTCGGGCACTCTAAAATACGAAGTGGAAAAATAGTACGACGGCACCCGCATCTATTTTGTCTGGGAAGGAGTGAAGAACACCACCGACAATCTAGCCCTCTAATTACAGATTTCAAAAGAATTAGACTCATGATGACTGTGAGAGAACTCGCATAAGACTACCTGCATTTACATGCCAAATGTTTACAATCAGTGAAAAAAACTGTGCACTCATTGCCAATCACAATGATGTCATAAATCTGTAAGTGGAGTCACGTTGATATTCTGTAACAGAATGCCCAGTGGTAGTGGGTCCTGTGATTTCTATTGTTTAGCAGATATGATAGCCGAGTTGCTGGTCATGGTTACAGTTATAAACACAAAAGTTTTTTTTATTATTTTGCGACGCGTCCAATTCATATTTCGACCGGTAGTTATGGACCTCATCGATGAAAGCGTTCTTAATTAATAAAGGGCTGGAGGGAGATTCCAACGCTCGGATGCGTTAGACTAAAAAAGAAACTCACCGCGAATTGTAAGTTAGTAAATAACTCAGTGTTTCGTGGACCAATGCACCACGTGTACCAGCGGTGCGATTGGCTTTCCGATACTTAAAGTTAGAATTTCATACTTGGAATTCAAGGATATGGACAGACAAAAGTTTTCAGTTTTCTTGGTAAAACCTGAAACATTCGAAACTATATAGGGTGTTTGTCAGATGTAGAGACGCCGGAGCAACAAGGAACGCAGAGTACATCGATGTCCGACGGACAAACTGCTCCCCCCATTTATTCAGTGTCAGTGTAAGTGCTACTCATAATTCAGCTTATGTAAGAACTTTGTCGAGGGATATCGCACGTGTTACCGCGTAATTGAGAACCATTAAAGTTCAGAAGGTGGTCGCCGTCAAATTCAGTAACACGATGGCAGTACTGAGTGTTGAAAGAGGGGTGTTATAATAACTCCCGGGAAATCGAACCAATTTTACCAGAGTTATTTAAATAAAGTATTGTAGTCATTACATGGGCTCCAATGGCTGTTGGACTTCAACTGCAAATGGGGCCTATATATGCCACAAGTTCACAAGTCTTTAAACACTTCGCTTGAGGGTTATGGCTTCTTCAATTTAGCCCTTATGGAGTACATGAAAAAGGGTTGCAGTGCTGTGGTTTGGGAGCAGTGATAAAACAACTGACGGCTTTGTCGCTTGTTTGGACGTTTGGACCGGAAAAGATGGAATTCTATTGGGTTGGTGGAATTTTGCTAGGAAAGTGGAATGTACTAGTTATTCTGGAAACGATTTCGCTTATGCAACTTAAAACGTGTGGCGTTTAACAATGCGGCTTATAAACTGTCATTTGAAGAGCATAGTAATGAAGTTAAATGTTTGCAACTTTTTTCTGCCTGGAGTTTGATATGTATTTTCCGCCGGTGAGCCATTCAACCGAATCAGTTGTCAGTGGGGCATCCGGCCACCTCAACCCCACTGTACTCTTGATGGATCTTCGGATGGAATAATTAGGTGCCGCGAGATCCGGCGGAGACTGCAGCACATCGCGTTAGGCAAGAAGTTCTCTCTTGGGAAGTTCGCAACAACAGACATCGCTAACCATCACCATGAGCTCATGGATTTTCATGTTTAATGTCAACATCTTTTCAAGCCATGGATGCCATTTGCCAGCAGTCCAAAATGATGAAGCGCAGCTGTAAACAGATTTGATAGGCAAGCTGAGTGATGCGGGCAGTGCAGACTGTCTGCCAATGCCATTATGTTCAGGTGTATGATACCGGGGCCGACGCGACGCACAAAAGCACACGGTTTGCATTTGGAACCTGTCCCAATAATTCAGGTCACCAATTATCCCGAAGAAATTAGCCAGTGTAATAAGAGAACACCCTCCGAAGCATTAATATGGGGTGCTGGGGCCCTATGGACCTTTCCGTACGCGATTCTTGGCGCTGTTCTGCACACTGAACACAACATTCGACTAATCAGTAATGGAACACGACTGATCTAAGTAATAAGCTTGCGCAGGGGAGAAGCACAGATTATGAGAGATGCAGCACCAAAAAGTTGCCAACAATGTGAGGAACATTATGTAGAAGAAGGTGCAAGACTTCACGGAATTTAAATTTCGAAGACCGGCGTCGTGGAAAATCTAATGGTCATATTTCAATTGAGAAAAGAATAGCTATCTTAAACTCCTGTGATTGTTCCCATCGGTTCACGTCGGAGCACGAGAAGACAAGATTTGAAGCTGGAAGTACAGCGGATAGACAGAAACATTGGGCGCCCCGACGGACATGATTAGCCAGCTGCTTTCCGGGGTACGTAAGTAAGACTGAAATTATTAGCTGATCTGAAACACTTCTAGACCAACACATCAAAAAACGCACCGGAAACGAAGACTGAATGTATCTACTGTCCATTTCTTGTGAGACAGGCAAGACAACTGCCCGCTGACTGTGATTAAAGAGTGATTGAAGGGGATTGAACAGTTTTGTCCAGTCCAAATAAATCTTTTGGATCATCATGATCGGCATTCTTGTGTTTGCGCTTCGTACTATGTGGTTGATATTTTTCAAAAATGTATGTGTGCTAGTGCGTTCGTAGGCCATTGTACAGATTTAAACTATTGGTCTGGTAGTACGACAAACAATACGCATTGAACATTCACCTCGTTGAGCGCACTGATTTCTCAAAAGAGGTGTCTGCCTCTTGGCACCGAGGAGGGTAAAGATGCTGATGAGGCCAAGGAAACCGAAGCTCAATCAGGTGGAAGGCAGAATACTAGCAAGATAGCTGCAAAATCACAGAACGTAGATATCGGACACAGAAAAGGGCATAAAGAAGTGACCGCATAGGACGCTGTTACAAGAATCCTCACCAATACTCCTGACCTTATCAGAAGAAATATCCGTTGTAAGGCCTGTGAATAAGCTGACCACTGTCACCCTCAAGAAGCGCACCACCAGTTCAGATAGCCAGTCAGGTACTAGTGATATGATTTAAAAAATCTAAGGAGCACAGATGACACAGTACTCTCTTTTTGAGCCGTGTGTGATGTTTGCCATTGCAGGTTCTCTGAAGGAATATCTGATGATGGGTATGATGACGATTTAAAGCTTTCGAAGTCAACCACCAGTAAACTTGTTGGTCCCGTGAGCCAATGGTAACAACCCCCTACTTGGTTGGGATGGGAAATGCAAACTTCTGCGCCGTTGAAGGTTGTGCTAAGAGCATTTGACGTGGCTGCAAGACTTGGACTATCCAGGAAGCGGGACTGAAAACCGTTGTCTCGGGTAAGTTAATGTTGGCGAATCGGCAGAAAGACAGGTAGAAAGCGATTGTTTGGTTGTACGGCGGGGATTTCCATCAAGCAATGTGCCCAGTACCAGAAGCCGCGCCAGCTAGGCCATTAAATGCGTCCGCCAAGCCATCGTTTTCCAAAGAGAGTGCTGTTTTCTAGACACATTTCAGTGTTAAAAACAAAAGGGTGTCCATTATTTCATCTGGCAGGGGGATACGAAAGATATTTAAAAAAATCTGGGTGCTGTCGGTGCTACTTGCCTTCCAGGATGAACGGCGAGATCTCTACTGCGCCCGGTTGGGGGCGCTGCAGGATAGAGATTCTAATAGGTGTCAGTAGTGTTCTCACTGTTAGTTTTCATGCAGATTGCCTGAATGAGTGTTAGGAGGTGTAGGGACCTTGGAATGATTGTGTTAAACTAGGATTAAGTCTCTTTTTCCTTCCAATCCTGTTCTGTTCTTCACAATAAGGCTTTCAAAAAACCATTGTGGTGCGGCAGCAATACATCATTGTTAAACGCTGATATCATGCTGTCAACGATGCCGCTGCTATTGATGTAATAGAAGCATTCGGGAGTCATAACTACTTCTGCAGTATGATATTGGCTGAAAGAGACGCGCCGGCTAACACTTACAGATACGTCACCCAAATATCAAGAGGAACGACAGACTGATGCCACGCTTTTTGAAGGTCTCTGGATTTGAGGCGTAGCAAATTCGATAACTGAAAATTTTCAGATAGTCTCGAGGAAACGGATGGGATCGCCTGTCACTTTACCCATAGAAAGAGGCGGAACGCACGTTTTGATCAACGTGAATACTGAAAAGCTGTCCAAAAAGCGGGATGAATGGAAAGCCAAATCTCCAAACAGTCCTAATTTCATCAGTTAGAGACATGGTTATGAGAGAAAACCCGACATTCCACAGTCGCTTCATCTGGTTACACACTGTTCAGATGGAACCACCACGTTATCAGGCAGAATGATGGGTTTCTTTATGCCCCATGAAATTTTTGTTTACTGGCAGTCTTCTGAACGAAGTAACTTCTCTGCGTATCCTTGCCGTCATTAACTAGCCCTCAGTCTGACGCTATACTGAATACGATAGTGTCTTACCAAGGTCTATCAAGCACAGAAGCTACATATCTCAAAAATATCGCAAAACACTCCAGGATCGGCGAATTTGGAACAGTAAATCCAAAGGACGGTTATTACTAGGCTCAAAAGACCAATTGAAAACAGCTTTACACTGGCAAATGTCGCAATACGCTGAAAAAGCTTGTTTTAGCTTTATGGGACAGGTAAAACCCTGCACTGATTCTTTACTAACTGAATCACTCTAGAGTACATTGGCTATTTGGATGACAAAACCCTCATATACGAGCGGCCATATAATGCACGTTCTTTCCCGTGTAACTGGTAGTGCAAGGAAAGGATATGCGTTCACACCCATGTGTAGCAGCCCAAGTTTCTGCGTCCCGTAGGAGAGGCCAACACTACGGACTGCATTATACTGTCTCATGCGAACGATCCTAACTACCAGCAGGGTGACTTCGAAGAGAGGTAAGATGTATCGCCTATTTTTTCGTCTGCAATGAGAAGTAAAGATCTTTCACTAACTGTCATGATTGGATCGCAACAAAATACCAGTGAGATAAATATGACCCCATATGAAAATTAAAAGTCATGAGTCCGAGGTCAGTGCGATATCCGAGAACTGTACAAAACTAGTCGTGACACCCAAGATTTTGCCTCGGTTTCATCAAGCTTTTCACTCTCAAGATGTCTCCTTGTGTCACGAACAAAACATTAGCCTCTCTTCGACGGATAGGCGTCCACAAAGCTCCGGGTCTGAACAGCTTGCATCCACTCATTATCAACCATCCTAAGACGGTGATTACAGTGTCTATATTCACCTACATACTTCTTCTTTTGTAACATATTCTTACTGCTTTCCCCAGCCCATCAATAATACAGACCTTGCAAATCCATCAGCAATGACTTACATTGTTTTTGCCCATAACATTTGTGGTTCAGCTGGAGCCAATAGCCTCAGGCATCTTGAAACCAATCTTTAAGCATTTGAGTCAGCTTTATTTGGATGCTCCTAATGCCGGTACTCCGACGCAAGTGCGAAGGCGGGATCCTCCTACTCGCACACTGGACTTGCTTAAAACTGATGCATAGTGTCTATCAGGAGCAAGATTTCAGGATCAGGATATACCTGCTATATACAGTTATACCTGTGGCATAGTACTGTTCGCTGCATTTAAGCATTGGATATCAGACAGAGTGACTGTGCTGCTGCGTCCCAGAGGAACGTCCCCGTTTGTACCGAGTATAATGCAACTCGGTAAGTTACCGGAAATCAAGCAAAAATGAGCCTGTGCGCCGACCGTCAGGTCTGATAAACCTGATAGGGGCTAAGAACCTGGAAGATGCAGAGTATGTCGGAAGTGAAGGATTATTTCGGTTGATCAGCGCGATTGGTTCCCGAAAACTGCTAATGACGGGAACCATCGAAGCTCAAATAGGACCGACGCGCTCCAGTGAGAGAAGGTGCCTCAATCTATGGGCCGATCATATTGAACAACCCTGTTGTGCTCAGCTGCTGACATCCAACCAAATTTTCGGACTGCGGTATTCACAGGGGATCGGTTTGCCTCCGGTTAGTGCCACTTCATGGTGCCCTGTGGAGTACCGAGCCGAGAGGAGAACGCCAGACAGAAAGTTAGACAAAGGTTACGTTAACCATATTTACGGAATCCGTCAGAAGCTAGATCGGTGTCAATAAAGCGATCCACAATTTTGACCATCCTGAATTTCGAAGGCGCATTTCATTTGAGTGCTACGTTCTTACTGGCACGCTTGCCAAGCCACAACTGCCCCAATAATTTGTCAATATAACAAGTCCTTTGTATTCTCAAAATTGCTGGCATTTGAAACTATACGCGGAGCTCTCCAAAAGTGAAAACGTTGGTGTCCCGCAAGAGAGACAACTTCTCCATTCGTATTTAATCTCATGATCGGCGAGCAAACAAGAATACTGCTAAAAAGTCCTCAACGTCTTGGTATCCAAGCCGTTACTGACGCAAACCTCGCCGATTTGAAATGCGCAAACCACCTGGTTTCTTCTTTAACAAGAGAAGAAAGTACGAGTTTTTTCTGATAAACTAACCATCTTCTAGTGTGCGCTTTGTACCCACATGCATGCAGTCACTGAAGAAACCACATGAAATCCAAAGAGACGCAATCAACGCTATGGGATGGCTTATGTGTCTTGTACAATGTGCAGTTTCCGATTACAAAGTGACAAAAAATTTCTTTACAAAACCCTAAGGCTCAGGCCGCCCTTGTTTACTGAGACATCTATGACATCAGAGCAGTATATCCCTGAATCCCAAAGGGGATTGTATCAGGCCGTCGTTGGGTTCGTTCTGTCGTACGGCTGGAAAACGTGATCAGTGTGGACAGCTGAGTTGAGTTGTCGTCCGGTCGTTGCCTAGAAGCCATATCTCATGTAACCGGCTGTTCGCGGATTCTCAACGACACGTTTAGAAATCATCATCATCATCGTCAGCTGTAAGAACCGCGTACATTCACATACTCCTGAGGGTAGAAGTGTGTGGTGAGCTCTCCAAAAGGTCTCCTACAAAAAAGGTGTTCGACAGGGATGTCTGTTCTTTCTGTTCCTGTTCAAACTCGTCATCGACGAAATAATGAGACGAACCCTGGAAGTTCATCGAAACCCCGGTGTTCAAACTGTTGCTGGTCAAAAGGTTGTCAGTCGGGAGTACGTCGATGATATCATCCTTATCATTAAAGGCTGAGGTGAAGCTTGAGCTCTATGTAATAAGCTGACCACCATCGTAGCACCATTTGGGATGCAGCTTCAAACCAAAAAGTCATATCTGAGAATAAGTGGTTTACTAATATACACCTTACTATTGAATAAAAGTATTGTACTTTGTGTAGAATTCACCGTACCTCCGGAGCTATATTAGCATTTCCGGGAGTGTCTGATAAAGGTGGTGCACGATTTTCAAAAGCCAGAATCAAGACGCTAATTTGCGACACTTATGGCACCAAAACGGCATATTACTTGGTCCCAAGTTTTGCGTATGCTAGACTAAAGTAAAGGCTGTATGGTTGTGTATTCGTGGGACGTGACCCCTACGGAAAGATTATGTGAGGCGTCTTAAAGTTTTTGACCAATGCGACAAAGCGTTGCCGATGTCAGATGGCGTCGAAGAATTCGTAATAGGGTAATTAGGAAACGGATGGCTGGTTGTCATTTGTGTACTATAGTCAAATAGTAAAATAGACAGTGCGCATGGCGCATCAGAAAAAAAAACACTCACTTTTTTGATGGCACACTTCGCGTTGTCTTTTTTTCTTATTCCACGAAATACAATACCGAAGGTTCCTTCACCCAAGACAGGTCCAAATTCATATTCGTTTTCTAGCTGTGAGGGTGTATCCATTCGGAAAAAGACGACATCATCCTTCTTGGAGCTCGGAATAAATGTAGACCACTGTTCCAAAGACGGCCTCGAATTATCATCTGTTTGCGCTGAGTCTTCTACTTTTAACATTAAACCAGAGCATCAAAATCAAGGGACAATAATGGGACACTAAATTCCTAGTTTTTTTGCTGCTCCCGACTCATTTTGAACTAAGCACGGAGTCTAAACATGGATTAAAACAAAATTACAGAAAACATTTCCATAGTAAATTTGAATGAACAAAGTGTGCAAAGCAGAACTTTCAATTGTGTCTGTAAACCTGAGGTAGCGCACGTGACTCTCAGGTTACCAGTACGCGGTAGTTCGAATAAATTAGCAGATTCTGTGTGCCAATGACGAACGGTTGCATTTGACGTACTCACAGAATGCCTGATGAAGTGGAGACATTCTCCCGCGAAAAGTTAAAAGAGGAGGAAGAGGCAAAAAATTTGCAAACGAAACAGAATACTTCTGAGGTTGACAACAATCAGGACAATGATATTGCGCATGATGCAGGTGAAACTACGCAACCCACGGAAATAATGAATGATGACAAAGATGAGGATGCACAGGCGTCGAACTATGTGTGTAACAATTATTTTGAACCTCAACGCTTTTGCAGGAATATCCTTCAAACTGGTACTCGGATCATGATCAACTTCAATATATTTCCGAATGTATGAAACAAAAGGTCATACCTTCGGGATATTTTCTGAGGCATATGTCTGGAGAGCTATTAAAAATGCCTCATTGCGTTCTCGGATCCGCTAGGATCAGGCCCATATGTGGAGCTATGGGGAAGAATACGACCATAACATATTTGGATCTAACGAACTCAGGACTTGGTGATGAGGTAAGATTAAGTGGTGTAACTATCATATGAGATGAATTCTGGTATACTAAGTTTTACAGTCTTTATTAAGTAGTCTAAAATGATCTTTACATATCTCGGCGCCCTGAGGGTTCCAATATCGCTAGGCCCGCGATGAAATTCTGCATTCCGCCAACCGACCTCAGTGGCGTTTTCGTTGTCAGTTTCTATTCCAGATTGCCTGAGTGGATGTCTGGAGGTGTCATCAACTCGAAATGATTGTGTTAAGCTAGCACAATGTCTCTTACCCGTCCATTTTTATTCTTTTCTTTACAATAAGGCCTTCAACTAAATCATGGTTGTACGCTAGTGAGGCATCGGTGTTGGAACACTGATTCATGCTTTTGGTTATGATGATGATGATGATGGTGATGATGCGGCGCCGGCAAAACACTGTCAAATACACATCTTCACAAATGAATAACTGACAAATTTCCGACAAGGTCTAATGAATATTACTCCGAAGTAATATTGGTCGACATAAACCGGACAATCACAATTTATTTGAAGTCATTACTGTGGTGAAAAGATCAAAACGGTAAAGGAGCGGGCGTAATGTTAGCTTAACACCTTCAGACACATTCGGGTGTTCTGGATAGAAACTGCAAACAAAAACCCCACTGGAGTTGATTGACAGACATAAATTGCGGCGTCTCAAAAGGGGTGCAATAGAGATCACACCGAAAGTCGCACCGACAGCACCCGGACGTTTCAAAATTTCTTCCATACTTTTCCCCCAGATCAAGAGTTGACCAACACTCTGATTCCGCAACACTGAATTTGGTACAAAAACAGAACTTTCTCCGAAAAAGGATGACCGCACGTGCATAATACATAAACGAACGAATATAGCTCCTGATGCTGTGCACGTTTTTCGATGGAACTCCCTGTTGCACAAATAAACACTCGCCTTCTAATTGCCTGGTTAAGGATTTGTAAACACTAACTCACACAGATTTGAAACAACGGTTGTCAAGTTTCCGCGGATGTCTCAGTTCCGCTGCTTTAAAGAGTCAGGTCTTACAGCCATATAACAAATCGGATTGCGCTGTAACTCGATGCGCAAGTCAGCTGAGATTCAGGGATGTACCGCTTTAGCGCCACGGGTGAAACAACTTGGCAAACGTTACTCCAACACTGCAGATTCGTGCATTTTCTCCATGTGTCGCACTACGATTCAAATTGGTGCAACTTCCAAGATATGCAGAACACTCCCTTGATTGTCAGAGGCTTCTGTAACTGTATGTTAAGGAGTGTGAACTTACATTCTATGAGTACAAAGCACATTCCGAAGTACGTGATGATTTAGGTTAGTTCATATAAAATCACGCGGTATTTCTTTAAGAAGACGAAAATGATGTTTTTGCATGTTTTATATCAAGAAGGATTTTGTCAGCAGATATTTGTACGCTAGGGTTTCAAACATCTTCCAGCGTTCGCCTTTTTAACTAATCAAACACGAAAATGGATAGGAAAGGAGAGATTCGGCACCCCTGAATGACGCCAATTTATGTACGGAAACTTCTAAAGAGTTCCCCATATAAGCTCAGGCTCCCGAAACTCTGCGAATACAAAAAACGTGTTACGTTCCCAAACATCCGTGGAAGTTCATGCTGGGCAGGCGTGTTAACAACAGGAGATCGGTCAACTGGATCGATTGCGCCTAAGGATCCAAGAATACCAACATTTTGGATTGTTTGTACGCATTACGTTGTTCTAGCACCTGACAGAGTGTGAAGATTAGGTCAACGCAACCACTAACATATTTTAATCTCGCTTGTTGCTCCCAAGTGAGCGGTTCATGCGCCACCATAACCCGACAGAAGACAGGTGATATCAAACCTTTCAACCTATTCCACAGTGATTACCGCACACGTCATGGGACCGCTTTTGAAAGTGGACAGTATTGCCAAATCGTCTCAGTCAATCGGAACAGTCTTTCCTAATTTCGGGCAAACAGATAGGGGAATTGCCGATTGAGGACTTCACACCAGTCTTTGAACAACGCTGATGAGAGGTCGTCCGGACGAGGAGCTCAATGGTGGTTGGGAGCTGTCATAGAACTTCGAGTCAGTAGAGAGTTCCGCATTCACCACCCCCCCCAGGGACCTGCGTCAACCGTTTGTGGCTACAGCAATTGTTGTTTGAACCATTAGACTCACCTGCTGAAGCTTTCTTCATTCACAATGGCGCTTTACTCTGAGGTGGTTCGTAGGGCAAGATGGTTCAGTGGTTAGAGCGCAAATTTACTGACTGAAACATTCGAGGTTCCAACCCGACCTCTGCCTCTCGACGTCTGTTGCCTAGGTTGGGGCAACCTTACGGTATTGCTGCCCTCGTGTTTCCTTCTGGTGGCATGGTAGTTACGCACCGAAAGGGTGCTGTAGCAGAAGGATTGATTCACTCTAATCCTCAATGGTTTTCCTAACGTGTGGTTTCCGCGTGCTTGCTGCACGAGCCAACGAAAATATTCATTGGGCATTTCCGGCTTTCTAGACCTCTTCTGTTTCTTTCACATCACGAATCCACCAGGCATCTGGGTTGCGGCAAATGTCCACTTGCACTTTAATCCTGGTGACTTGCCGGGCCGAATAGTGATTAGAATCAGCGGATATATCTCTTCGAGGTCTACGCAGTGCCACTTTTTGAACTGATATCCAGTGCTTGATTGATGATGGTAGCACCGTGCCGCGGACAAAATCCCCAGCAATGTGCACAGTTTGTGGTCCTGTTCCAGCATAAATTCGAAACCATCGGTGGGGTAGTTGGAAGAGACTTCAGAAGAAGATTCTGTCAGATACGTCTAACGTCCAAATTTAACATGTGACCAGGTGACTTTGGTTGTTTCGGAAGTTGATACTGCATAAACACAACCTGCGGTCAGCACATAGCTGAAGCAGCCGTTCGCCATTGTTAATACGTACCAAGTCCAATACATGACTGAAGCAGCCTTCGCCATTGTTAATACGTACCAAGTCCAATACATGACAACCAACTAACTGAGTCTCGGAGTTGCTAATCCTGTCCACTTGTGCACTTAGATGTTCTGCAACCACATCAATATCCGAGATCTTAGGACGCGGCGATCAGGCGCTCAAGGTCTCGTAAAACTTATCTTTTGTATCGTCAAAGCCACAGTTGTTTGAGGCGTAAAAAGACGCGAACATCGGCAGTTAACCCGCGTGGGGGGGGATTATTGGTGGCTGCCCAACCCAGCAAAGGTCCTTCCGCCCTATGATCTAGGACCATACCAACCCTGTACATCCTGCCACAATAGCTTCTGTATCGCCAGAAGTGTGCAGCCTGAAGCAAGAGAGATATGTGTCAGCTGAAGCATTATGCTTGCATCCTGAATCCTTGTTCTCGAAACACAGTAAATCTCAATTTCGAGCGAGAGAGAAAAGGCAGGAAGCTTGCTCTTACAGAAGTGGGAATTCGTGTAAAGTGTGGACAGCTGCAGCCATCACTTCTTTTTTCCAGCCGGCACACAACATTAAATTTCCTTACAGTTATCCGTTGTTTAGAGGGTAGGATACCTATTTCTGGAAAAGTTCTAATCATGAAGGGCCTAATTTTTTCAATAATCCCCAGATGATTCATTAGCGACTTTTTGCGATTAGACATTACTTTCGAGTGAGTTTTCCATCACGCTAAGTCCGCGCACATTTTATTATTTTCTCTTTTTACCGGCTGGACTTTATTCTCAACGGCGTGCTAATTGCATCCCGTCAGCTTCGCAGTACTGTTTTTGTGAGTCGCTGGTGGCCTCTTCTTTGTATTTTTGTGTCTTACTGAGTGGCCGCTGTGGGAGTGTTTGCAAGACATCAGAAAGTGAACTTTTATTCTTGCGTACGGTGGATGAGTTGAGGATTTCAGCATCCTGTGGAGTTTAGAGCTAGAGCTGAGAGACGTTTTCACCGCACTCCATGCTGGGAATTTTGTTTGATCCATTTTCTGAGGTATTATTCACACTTGAGTTTTACAATTAACCTATCAAATTTCATCGTCTTTTTGTGCAATGTGTCAGCCAAACCAACGAATTTATATTTGTCCGCTGGCCAGAGTACAATAGCGTATCTGTGTCAGAACTTACCCGTTTTACACAGTCATTACAAAAAAATTAGGTTTTCTTGAGAACTCTGATGCAAACTGGACCAATCTGTATTACTAGTGACCTGGATTCACGAGAATGTTTTCTCGAATCAATAAATATTCCATCCAAAATGTTCCCAAAGTTTTTCAACGAACGTTGCTGCCGACAGTTTGCTTTCAACTCAACTACTATTTAGCTTAAGGCGTTGAAAAATGAAGCTTCGTGTCACAACCGGTGTAGATTTCGGGTTTTTGTCTTTTCTGTAGTTAAGGATCCACTTAAATGTGAAGTTAAAATGATGGCGGCGGGCTTCTTTCTAGCCGTATTTTCCCGATTTCTTCCCCAGCTTATCTAGGATGATGATAGTGATTGGGTGTGTCTTATTTTAGCGGCGTCATTTTGGCCATAAGGCTTCTGAGACCAAGATAACAGAGGAAGCAACTTCGTGAGACTAGGCCACATTTATCAGTGATTTGAGTGTAACAATAAATTTCACGTGGCACTTAGGCACGCAGAACACGCTGCGGCTCGATAAACAAGCATTGGCCAATCATAGCGACACGTTAGTCGTAATAACATAGTACAGTCTAACCAGATTACAAACATTCAATGCTGAACATTTTGCTTAAGAAAACCAAGAGGCCACCAAACCCTAGTCCATCAGCTGTTCTGACAGAAGCCCTGACACTCAATACCTTCGTCAATACACAGCATGTTCTTGGCAAATCTGAACTTGGCTTCTTTTCCACACCACTCTCGTTAGAACGGTCATTATCCTGTTCTGGTGCAATTATTATCGTGAATCCGCACCAAAGGGAAGCACTGGACCTTAGTTTTGCTCTTATTAAAGCTCAGCAACAGTACATATCCAATGGCCGTGCCAGGGTTTGAACTCCGCACATTTGACATGCGAAGCGAGTGTGTTACCACTTCCCCACCGGCACACGTCGGATGCATCTGAATTTTTACTTCTAGACAGGTGAACCTGTCAGCGTTTAAGCGATGTGCTTGAAGTTCCCGACACGCTCGCCTCAAAACGTTAGATGTCCAGAGTTCAAACTCCAGGACGGTCATTGGATATGCACTGCTTATGAGCTCCAACAAGAAAAAACTCGAGTGGTGTGGACTCGCCAAAGTAATTACGCCAGCACAGGAGGATGGCCATTAGAACGAGAGTGATGTGACTATGAACCAAATAACTATCCTGCAAAATCCCGCAACAAAAATTTGAAATTAGGGTCAAAAAATTATTTGGGTCTCAACATTCTGAATGGATCCGAAACCCGGTTGGCGCCAGTGACAGAATATTGACCGCAAGTAATTGGATGCGACTTATCTTGTGAACATAGTTTGCTGCTGCTGCAAAACATTGTTGGATTCTATCACTATCTTAGAAGCTATCTGTTGCCGTGACGATCAGAGTATATTCTAGGTCAACCCCTAGATAGTCACTTAATGTTCAAAAATGTACCTCATTGTCTAAGGCATAACAACAAGTTACCAATACACACTCAGTGAAAGCCACTGGACTATCTGTGAGGGAATATATTATTATTATTATTATTATTATTATTATTATTACCTCCCACACGCTGAAAAACTTTAAGCACTCTTGTTGCCAACTACTCACCACCACCATTAAAGCCAAACTTCGTGGACATGAGAAAAAAGCCGCCCACAAGCACAGCTGTTTTAACGCTTATAAACCCCTCACACCATCAGTGTTAGCCACTTCAGGGTTCTCCAACTCCTGAAATTGGGTCTGAGCTCACCCAGGCAGATTATGAAGCACTACCCCGTTAATACCTTTGGTCGATTAAGTTTCCATTCCCTACACCTTAAAACGGCCTCCAACATAAAAACCCTCATTATCTGTTAGACACAGGAAGCTCGAGCTTAATAGGTCGCGTATGGGGCTTGGTGGACTAGAACAGCTCAAGAACCGTCCAGGCAAAACCTTTTATTCATGGTTGCTCTGCTAAGGGCGGCGAATTTTTTCCTGTTGATGAAGGAATATGTGAGTTTGAAGTTCCGAAACTTTGCGAACTTTTAGAATCAGCCATGAACAAGCATCTTTTATGTGAATATATAAATATTTATACCACACTGACCTGAAATCGCGTTAGATGTCATCTGAAATACCACGGTTTATTGCGTCCTAAATCCACACGGCGTATCCGACAGTACAGTTAGCAGAACTGAGGCATCCGTAGATATTCCAGAGGGCAGAAAAAGGTGAGGAGTAAATGAGTACGTCGGGAAATGCTAAAGCATTTGAAGATTTTGGCCACGTAACAAGGTGTAAAGTAAAGTAACTTCACTGAATTTTGAGAGTTTTTTAGTGTTTTGGTGGCACTTACGCAAGCAAGATGTCCGAACCCGGTTGTTGGTAAAAAGTAATTTGAAAAGGTACACTAATCTTCATGCTGTGAACAGCCAAATCCGGCGGACTCGGTGCCAGCATAGGGGTTGCAGCTTGTGGTTAGAAAGGCAGATATGCAATTTAGATTCACTTGGCTCTCCAGGGAAAACCAAATTTATTTGAAAATGGGTATGTGGTAGAACGATGATAATTTACCTGACCGACGACGCACGTTAAAAGTATGGTACTTAGCTGACACAATCGTCAAAATTTCTGTGGAAGCCCTTAGGTGTCAGAAAGCAAGAGCAACGTTATAGTGGTTGAAAGGGGAATTTGTATGCACTTCTGCCTTATTCCTCGAAAGATTGATTGGGACAAGTCTACAAGTTAGCCAACGAAGTCAACCACCTTGCAGACTCCGTCCACTTTGCTGATGGCGCCAGTCAGTAATCTTGTTTTTCCTAGCCACACCCATTCCGTTACAGTCTAGAATTTATTCTCTCTGCAGAAAAAAATCGTCCTCTTCATTCGGATAACAGAACCGCTTACATATCGTTTACTGGATATAAAGTTCACTGAAGGAAGTCTTATTTTACATCATAATACTCCCCGAAATTGAAGTGTGACCAAACACAGAAAAAAGTGCATCTGTAACATTACTGCGAGCTGTTTCGAAACAAGCATTAACTTAGATAAAAAGGGCATATATCACAAAGAATAATAGTAAGACAACTTTTCTAGTTTTGCTTAATACTGATCCAGACAAGACATTTCCATAAGTTTTACCTGTTCACATCAAACTGTATTCACTACTTCATCTGCATCTGAGTTTATCTAAAAATGTGGATAACCGAAAGGTGGCTCGGATAGCGCACCAACTGACACCTTCCCGAATACGCAAAACTGTCCCATCCACGTTCGTTCCGTGAATCCAGACCGATTTACTATCAGACAAAACATTAATTTTGGCCATCGCACAAGTACTTGAAAGCCCCATCCGTTGGATTTATTGACTTCGTTGAAAGCACACACGCTGGACTAACTTTGTGTATTGAACTCATGGAACCCATAACTCCATCGTGTGCAATCTTTCTATCCTAAGAGACAACAAACAGAGGAAGTCATATTGTGACCGAACTGAGTAAATCGCTTCTAATGAGCTAATTCCTTGGCCATCCTAGTGTTATGAATGGGATACATTAGTCTGATCAAGTTGAATTAGAGAAGGGCGAGAAGAGGTGGTAATCCGGATGCATTCTTACCTCATAGATTCTGACTGGGATTATCCTGGGTATGGATAATTTGAGCTGCGAATGCGCTTCCTTGGCACTTCTGAGGAATAGCACTGAGGGTTCGGAAAATGAAGCAAATTACTGTAAGTTTGGGATATGACAGCGCGTATGTAATTGCATTATTTTTTCAGCTTCGACTGTTCACATAATATCTGCGTAGAGTTCGGTATGAACTGCTATCATACCGATGTACTGTCCCCGGGTTAAAAAGAGATAACATCCTGATCGAAAACTTCAAACCGTACAAAAGCTTCAAACGCTTAGCTTGTTGAAACTGACAGTGATATGATTACATGGGCAGCCACCCCTGCAAATATTATCCAACGGGATACAGTCAGTTTTAGGCATTTTCGCTCCGGACAGATATTAGCAAACAACTTGTGGATAACCTCGCGAATGGCGACGACCAGTGGGATGCGATGAACCTGAACCACTTAATCCTGGCTTTGCGGCCTTTCTACGCAACAGCAATAGCAGCTCGATAATACACTTACTCTGAGGATCACATCCTGTATTATGTACCTGCTTTTCTCAAGCAGGCACAGAATTTCAACTTTCTTGAGCATAGTTTTAGCTAATACGGACTATTACCAAACGCATGCGAAACTAGTCATTTCTTATTTTTTCTCATTGAATTGCACGCTAATGCCACTGATGAACAGTTATTTAGCTTTTCGGACGCGATGTTCTCTTGTAAGGTGATGGCAACAGATATCAGACAGATTGTTCGGTGAACGCCTCATGAACTGCAGCTTTTCTTTCCGGCCATCTCAAGGGGAATGTGATAAAACCAGCACAATGGTCCGTAGGAATCATTTTTAATCAGTTTATAGTAAGAAGAGTCACCGTTTGGGTTAGTCGGGGAATATCTGCGATGTCTGTTAGTCCAATGGTAAGGGACGTGATTATGTATGAAATGGTATATGCTGTAAGTTTTGCAATGAATTAGTGTTCCTCACTCTGTTCATTAGTACTTCAGTTTGTGGTCATATGTGTGGGTTGGAGCTTACTTAAGAAACTTAATATGCTGCCTGCTGTTTTTTCATCCAGTCTGTACCAGATTTGTGCAACATGTTCAAGGACAACAGTACAATCGTGGAGGTTAACTTGTCGGAGAATAAATTAACCTCCAAGTGCGCGGAGAATCTTTGTGATGTGCTTGCTTCCAGCACGCACCTAGAGAGAATCGACCTTCATGGAAACAAGTTCGATGATAAGGCGGGTGTTTACTTTGCCGAGCTGATGGCTGTAAGTTTAATAATTGGGCCTCATCTTTTTTTATGACCGATATACATTTATTGCTCGCTACAGGAAGGCTGAATGTCGTTTCAGATAGAACTGGTGAGCAGCCAGTAGATTCACGGCTGAACAACACCTACGTTTTGACGCGAAAGGTCCGTCGAGCCGAACGATTAAATGACCAGGCTGTTCTAGTTTTAAGGCAGACGAAAAACTATTCAGTGAGATGTCTTTAAACAATTAAACTGAAGCAATCAGTCCCTAATAAGAATGTCGCACCTCTGCAGATGTAGCCTTATTTGCTGATTACTTTATTGCAAGGACAGATAACTAACCTCCGAACTTGAAAACGGTTGTGAGTAAAACAGTACGGTCTTGTCTAAACAGCGAAGCTTTTCAGTCCAAAGAATGTTCAAGTAGTAAGAAAAAGATTCACTGGCTGAAAAATTAACAGTTTCTGCCAACAACTCAAATTCAGTCATTTTAGCTGCATTTAAATGGAGGCTGTGTCATATGACCGGCAACTCCAGTGAATACCCACATACAGGTATAGTCCACACAGATGTAACACTGTAAACCGTCCAGGAAATCTAAATTGGTAGGCTATTTGTATCCTTCCGTTCAAAAGTAGGGACCACTTCACTGCTAGCCATGGGCTAGTCCAAAATTACTTGTGCTGACTAACGGTGTCCTCTCAGGTGTGATAAGGAACGTTGGCTTGTGAAATAAATATCATTCGGTTACCACTGATGCAGGACTACACCGACAATCGCAGTCACATTAAACTTACATAACTGGAAGTGTAAGCCCAAGACTTACGAATATCCCATGTACCATATGTACAATATGCTCTGCACTATGTGTTCTGTGAGGAACACAACGGATGTCAACGCGCGTGGCTAATATTCAGGTACCCTGGATCAAGTCCACGGGTAATCACACTGTGAGACGAGGAGGTTTGCGTCGCCTTAAAGTAAATGAATATCGTTCTGCTAGTTAACCTAACAGGGTCTCGGAGATTACGATGCAATATATGAAGATAAGTCAGGTAAGGGGTTTACTGACACTGAGTATTAAAATAGATGAGTGGAGGACTTTCGCTGGCTGCTACAAACATCTTATATGTTCACATCTTCGACACACATTTCGAGATTTAAGAGAGACTGAAAGTAGGATGAAAGTGAATGGGTTTCGAAGTCATTTTTGGAATATTCTCAGTCAACCAGTCAACTGCCTTTAAGAATATGGATAAGACAAGACGGAAGATACGGATCCTGTTATTCGCGTTCGCCCTGGTTGACTAAGCCAGATTATTGCAACGTTGGTTTGCGTTACAATGAACTTATTTCGGAAGCTACTTAAGGTGCACGACAAGCGAATATTTGTACCACTCAGCCAAGCTATATCATCTCGTCAAATGGAACTTTTCGGATACAAGTTCATATTCAGTTTTCTTCACATTGTTGCGATCCAGCATAACCAAACTATCAATAGTGCTCGAGCCATCGGTTCACGAGATTTTACAAGACTACTCAACTTCTCTGATGATGTATCCTCATACTTTTTTTTACCATCATCGTCATCATCATTGACAGCCTGACATCAGAGTTCAACACAGGTGCTTCACTGCCGTATAACCATGATTTATTTGAAACCTTATTGTGCAGAAAAGAGTAAAGGTGGACGGAAAAGAGGCTTAGTTCTAGCTTACCACAATCATTCCGAGGCGCCTATACCTCCAGACATTCACTCAGGCAATCTGGATAGAAACTAACAACAAGAACGTTACTAACATCGGCTGGCAGCCATATCTTGTAGTGTCTCCAACCAGGCACAGTGAGGATTACGCGGTCCCACCCTGGAAGGCGAATAGCACCGACAGCACCCAAGCGTTTCATGATCTCCTTCATACTCTTTCATACTCTGTCTGTTTACGCCACCCTGAATTAGGCATGGAAAACAGCACTCTTTTCGGCAAACGATGGTTCGGCATACGTAACACATGTCCCAACCAAAGCAGCTTCTGGTGCCGGATACATTCTTTAATGGGACCATCCTTTGCACAAGCGAAAACGCGCTTTCTAACTGCCTCGTTACGGATTCGCTGACACCAACCCACACGAGCGATGGTTCTGAGACAACGATTGTCGAACACCTGAAGACGTCTCAGTTCCGCTGCTCGAATAGGCCAAGTCTCACAGCCATACAACAAAACAGCCCGTACGGTAGCTTAATACACACGTGTCTTGAGATTAAAGGATAAACAAAAGAGTGCTTTGCAAATAATTCTGGGATAGGCTTAGAACAACGTGATGCGATAAAACGACGCTCATCGAGCAACGTCATACCAAAATCCTGACATCTCGACTACTATTGTCTAGGTTTGGACAACCTGAGAGTATCACAGCTTTCGTACTTCCTTCGGTCGGCATGGCAGCTAGGTATTGGAATGGTGTAACAGCTGATTGATTATCGTCTTATTTTGAGGTTTCAAATGTTAAGTATACTGAGACCCGTTAGATGAGTGAAAGACTTTTCGTATTAGAACAAACGAGGAACTAAACCATCAATGTTAGTTATGAAGACTGGTTTAAAAAGCAGTATAAATCAAAGGTAAAATACGCACACAACTGCCACGTGATTTGGCTGTTTAGATGTACTTTCCTCCATCACAATTAAAAACGGATTAAGGACCCCTATCCGTAATTTCATCAAGGTTATCATATCACCAGTGTGCTACGTACGCGCACCGCTTGCGGTGCGGGCATGCCTAATTCTGGGTTAGTATGAGTCGTTAACTAATAATGATCTTTATGGAATTTTCAGCCAAAGAGCTGTCATTACATTGAAGTCGATACTTTGTTCCCAAGTATGTGACGTTGCGTATAGTGGATCACCCAAGAAAGGTTATGCTTCTTTGACATGCACATTCGACCGTCATATTCACATAGGCAATCCACAACTTCACTCAAGCTCTGATAAAAAATGTGACCACTATTTTTGGGGAAGATTTTCATAAATTTATCTCTTTAAGAATTGAACAAGGCAGTACGGCGTCGCTTCGAAGTGAATGACCGCCATTTTTGGGAGATACTCGGGACTCCCTCATTTCCGGTCGATTTTCAGCTGAGTGTGTGTGGTCCTCCCGCAATCACCAGCCAACATAAAGCCAAACTCTAGGATGGTGGTATGCTCTTGTCACTGTAACCTAACATATAGCTTATGTTGTTTTAATACATCCCAGTATAAAATAAAAACTTCAGGATAATTCCTTCATTAGACGTTCTCTTGCATGAAAGAAAAAACTGCACCAGCCTTTTGGAATGAACCCAACTGGCTACTTGGGGGAAAGCAGGGGTATCCAGAGGCACATGAAGTTCTTGTGGATGTTTGGATTAGAGGCGAAATGGCATAATCCAAATAAAAAGCTATTTCTGCTTTTACGTTGCAGAGTTTATAAATCACTGCGTTATTTTTGGGTTATTGTATTAGTATAGTCTAATTCTGTTGGAACCGCTGTTATGTAACCCTTGAATGATTATCAGTTTCGAAAGGCTTTTATACGAACGTTCCCGGGGATTGTTCCTGTTGCTTCTTATGTGATCATGGGACGTGATAACTCTAGAGAATTAAAAAAAGATTGCTGTGCAACATACCAGTTAAAATTTGTGTGACATAATGTTATGTTGTCTAGTTGAATTAATACTGAACGCTTGATACGGCCACACACCAAATTACCGTCTCACTGGAACTAGTAACCCTGGTTCACATTTGGGGATGTCAAAAATCAAACATAGGGTGTGATGAACCGTTGCGGTCGAATTCGGGCTTCCTCTGATAATGTTCTGCCGTGTGAGATGAACGGTGACTAAAATCCAAGTGACTGACATGCATTTACATTGACTACACGGACTAATGGATGCAAAATCTGAATTCTGTTGCCTGAATTCGGAATGACAGGAAGCTAAACATTCGGCACCTCTGGACTTTTACGCAAGCGGGCTATTTATTTCCGACAAAACTCACAGTGACTCATTCTTCCGCTTATCCTAAATGACTAGCGTCACACTGATCGATCTGGTACTGATTTGCATACGTACGTGTTGCGTGCCGCACCTTAACGGACCATTGCGACCTGAAGGTTAAGAGACAGTACTGCGAACCAGACAGTTGAAGCGTTTATGCCTAACGAGCGACCAGCTCACAGAGAAGCAAATTTTCGACGAGTAATTTGGCATTGTTAGTCTTTTTACACTTTCTCGTAAGTCTGTATAAACTGTGACCATAAGTAGAACATAGGGTTGACGGAAACTCGGGGACTGCCTTAACAAAGACAAAACCGGTCGTGGGCTGCCGAAGAGTTTTCAGCAAACTTGTGAGTAGTTTTCTTTGTAACCACAATACTTTTCTAGCATACATCATGAATTTCGACCAATCCTATAGGACAAAAGTTCTTGAGAAAACCAAGGTGACCGTTGAGGCGGTTTTTAGTTTTTTTTTAAACAAGCTGACAACAGCAGGTTCGACGTTCCAAAAGATATTCTTCATAGTGAACACACATAGTCACATGAAACGATAAATAATAGATTAGTTCGGATAAGCTTTTGAACACGAACAATACACGATTATATAGCGATCCCGGTTGTCTTGCCTATTGTTAGCGATATAGAAAACGAAACTATCAAAAGGAGTGATGGATAAAGTAACCTAGGTTTTTGAAATGGGAGTTTTTGAGTTCAAATAGAACTGATTTCACCTGTTTACAACGTCCTTTCGTATGGTAGCTCCTCAACTTGATTATATCACACGCAGAAGGGGATTATTTATTATGATTCTGTGTACAGTAGTCTCTCCTTCAAGCTGGAGGACTTCATGCCTGAAACAGCCACATTTTCTCGGCTTTGCGACCTTTACTGGTGAACTGATGGGCAATATTAACGGTACCTTCCAAAAGAGTCCTGACTATTTCTGATTTTCATAGGAGCTCTCAGATCTCAGTAATCTGACTTCAGAAATAACTCGAAAAAAGGAAATTTATCTTTCCATTTACCATACAGACAGAGAACACCCATTGTGCAGAACGCTAACTGACGCGTGTGTAACCACAGTGCTCACTACTGGCACTAACTACCGAGCTCCACAGTAAAAATACGACTGATGATATAAGTTGTGGCAAACAGTGTCACGTGCCGGGTTCCGCGATGCTCAGTTTGGCTGTTACGGTCACGCGAACATATAATTATACTCAAGTGTTGACAGCTCAGCACTGCTGCAGAATGTCTAGTTCTTTAGAAGACAGATATTTAATGGTTGATTCACTGGCTTTCAAGCTAGATTTGCCACCCAAATGTGGTTTAAAGATAGGATTCTGGTTCACAGTCATTAAGTGCAGTCGAGTGCTATGTTCAGTCAGGCGATGCCGATGTGGACCTGGGAGTATAAGATAGGTGTCCAATTGTCAACTGCTAATTCCCCGATGTCACAACTAAAGACCCCACTTGCACTGAGCGGATTTCCGCTACAGTACTCTATATAGAGGAACTGGGTGGATATGTATAGCCGGGAAATACTGGTTAGGCGGTTACTGGTACTAACATATTGTGACCGTAGACTCGCGTGCTGGCAGCTAAAAAGTAGCAGAAAACTCATGTGAGGTGGCCTCCTGGTCCTTCGATGGTAAGTGTGCTGAAGAGTCAATAGGTAAACTACATGTGTCGTCATCTATATTAATGACGGACTTCTTGCTGAGAGTTGTGGCTTTAACCATGTTAGAGTACTTTTTCAGCTTCAGCAGTCTGTTAGCTGGGCCATCAGATACACAGGTTGGTTTATGTAACTGATGCTTTCAAAGCACCGGACATACCTGACTTCCTGGTGAAAAGTGCATCAATATTAGTCAGGACTTGAATTTCTGGGGGCTGCACTCAATGACGAGGCCGATGAGCAATTTTGGAGGAGTTCCCGAAAGCTGACTGTATATAAGCAGTTAGATTCGGATTCCGAATGAAAAGAGGGCAAAAACAACCCCTTGGTATAGTGTTGTTCTGTAGAACTATTACGGACTTGGTTTGATCGTTCCTCCAAAAGTAACGCAAACAAGCACATGATGGAGGCTTCTTAGAGTACCTTCATTGTTTTTGGGTTGACAAAAAATAGTCTAATCACCTAATGCAAATCCTTTGTAGAAATATTAAATTCAGCAGTCGTAGGATCCATATTATCCCCTTCTGGAAGCATCACCTCACATAAGAGCCAAGTGGCTGGCGACCCCACCACATACGTTTGGTCCGACCACCCGTTATTTTCGCCACCTCTTAATTTACCACCACATAGAATCTTTTGCTCTGTACCGCTTCAAATCGGCTTTAGTGATCCTCCATTCTGCTGAATTCTTAGTGATAACCGTGCGATGCGCCGATTCTCACCTTAACGTGCAAGGCATTCAATTACTTTGGCGCTGTTGTGAGTTTAGGTTACGTCATGGGCAGAAAAGATGAAGGAATGTCTTGTAGATTCCCAGTGTGAGCAATATCTGAACGGCCACACCATAATGAGTACTCTCTCTTGTCTTGTAAGCTGTTCAAAACCACATAACCCTATCATCTATGACGAATCTAATCACTGGCTGTACCAGAGGTGTCCACTAGGGTGGAGCCATTATTTTGGTGTGAATCCGTTTGGCATGAACCCCTGGAGTAACATTTGACGACCACCACTCCCTGAGTCTTAAGAAAACTCCCGCATCCAGATTTGCTACGAGGTGCCACAAATGTGTTTCAGATGTGCTTAGCCTATCCACTCGTGTTCTCAGACCTCCGGTAGCCACACCGGTATCCGAGATTCTAGGACCTCGGACACTCAAGATGTCTTTGATGGCGACAGCGCTATAATTGTTTGGGGCATAAGAAGATTCGACAAATGGACAGTGATCAACTTCCCGCTTTTGAGTTTCCCTCATGAAAGTTGCCATGTGAACCGCACGGAAGCGATTATCGTTGGGTATCCAGTCAAGCAAGAATGCTTCCGTCCGATGACCTATGACCGACCCTGTATATCCTGCCTCAGCGGTCTCTCTATCCCCAGAGGTGTGCAGCCGGAACCGAGTAGAGATCGATGAGAAAATTAGCCCAACCACTATGCTTACATTTTGAATTCTTTTTTCTGATACACAACATACATGAATGTCCAGCGAGCCCAATATGAAAGCAGGACCAGCATGTTGTCCAGCTTATTTGAAGGTGCGTACATTGAAGGCAGCCGGATAGACTAGGCGTCGAGGCTTGAAGATTAATTTCGAGATGCGTAAGGAAGTCGCCGCTGACCGGCGCGCAGATGTTGCTCGAAAAGCGGATGCAAAACTAGCGGACTCACCAGTCCTAACTGCCTGGCCTACAAGGAGAGACTTATTAATGTGGTGGGGGAGAGGGAGAAGAAAAAGAATGGAAGCGTCAGTAACAGCCCGTCTTCGCTTACCCGCCCTGCTGTATACGGCAAATAATGCGAGTCGGCTGATGTCACCACCGGTCGGCCAATGTGACATGAGAGTTTTGTTAGCTCTAATAGTCATGGTTGACGTGGGCTGTGATACTGCCCATACCTAGGCAAGAGAACGGTCAGAGTCCTCGACCAAATCCTCTGGCTCAAAGGCCTGACCACAAGGCAACAGCGTTTGGAGGGAAATGCAAGTGCATCTCTATTTTTACGGAATCTGTTGCCACGCATGTTCCAGCTCCCTACCTGGAGGGCCCGGAGCCTGTGCTGGCAAGATCTCTGACCACTGAGCAAACTGGTATAGGGGATCCTGCTAGTTTCGCACGGCAAACACCCGGTATAGTTCAGTGGGTCGCGGATGCACACAGATCGTCTCACCACGGTAAGATCCACTATAGATCTCTGACCACTGAGCAAACTTGTATAGGGGATCCTGCTAGTTTCGCACGGCAAACACCCGGTATAGTTCAGTGGGTCGCGGATGCACACAGATCGTCTCACCACGGTAAGATCCACTATATTCGTGACAGTAACTCAGTAACATAACTTGGTTGTGTCAAACTACTGGCCCGCCTGTCAGGACTTCCCAGTTTGGTAGCCCATAGACACTTGTAACCTGCTGGACAATTTTTAATTAGTTGAGTGTGGTTGCGGTTGTTTACTACAAAATATTAACAAACGAAATGAATTTATTTTGGTAGGAAAAGTTGGAATTGCGAATCGTTTTTCATACAGGAACGAACCTGGGACAAAATATCAATAAGTTCCGCCAAGTTTTCATCGGTGCACTGTGTGGCAAGCTGATCGAAACTTACTTTATAATTGGCGTAACGAGTGGACGTTCGATATTATGGTTTTTCAGGAACTCCGAGACTTGTTTCGTAGTCGTGAGCGTAGTTATGCTGAAGCCAACCATATACGATTGACAGCATCGACTCATTTGCAAGATGTTTCAACGGATGTTGGTTTCTGAAATTAAGCCTAGCAGATTGAGCTTGGAGTATAAATTTCAGCAACGACAATTTGCTTCGGTAAAGTAGTGGCCCTTGGGGGAAAGAAGAGAACTTTCCTCACATAAGGTGCTGTAAAGAATGCCGAAGTGTCTGTTTTTAGCGGTGTGATGACACTGGGAATCATGTCATCCCTAATTTCTTCGATGACCCATGGTTGCTTTGTCATAATAAATTCAAACTATATGAGCTACTACTTTAGGCAGTGGCAGAAAAAAGCAGGGTTTCGGTGGAATATGAGGTGACTCGGGGGTGAGGTCAGTGCGAATAGCCTTGCTATATAAGGTCGCCTCCAAACGCTCACCTTTTCGGAGTGTCTTCGCATCCTTTTGGTTTGCATTTTCAGACGTCTCTCGGAATGTCCTACCTAAATCTTTCATTCAACGACTTTGGTGAAACGTCTGTCGTGCAAATCGGACGTGCCCTACCTCAAGCTACAAGTCTGATCGAACTGGATTTGAGCTGGAATCGACTGGGATGGGGTGCAATGCGTCCATTCGCCAGAGGGCTTGCGGTGAGTAAAGCATTATCCTGATAAATTTAGGTAAGCCTGTTCAAACTGCTGCTTGTAGGCAGAATTATCGCTGATAGGATGAAATATTGGGCCACATTACCTTGTCTGTAAACCTGGGGATGTCTAGATTGAGCAAGTTCGGATAGGCTGACGTTCCGATGTGTTTCTTCTAACCGATATTTGAAAGACAAGCAATCAACTGGATTTTTTAAAAAATATACAATACAATAGTAGGGCATTTTTATCATGGAAAAGAACTTCTCTTTTGCAAGGTAACCAAGTAAAGATTTTAAAGAATTCTATGGGTCATAATCTCTAAGATTACCTTAATATTAGTATACATATATGAAATGTGTCGGAACAGGCAAAGTTTGGCCATGCCGCTGTTCACAGTATACCCATGTTACTACTTACCCTTGGTAATCGTCTCATGCCAGTATGTGCCGTTCTCACTGGTGTCACTGATTGTAGCAACAATAAGAAATGAGGCCAAACAGGCATCTATTCTTACTTCTAATGTACACCGCAACTCCCTGTGAGCTGAGAGATATTAGGCTGACAAAAGGAAATAGCCGATCAGTGACAGGTTAAATTTTGTTCTCTTCGTACCGCCTTAGTGGATGAACCAAGCTAGAGAATAAGGTTCCTGGGAAAAAATCAAATAAGTTTTAATAATGATTGTGCTGCAAGAATTTGGGTACTTAGTTCTGGAACTACCCACCCCCGGAAGATCGTTCGCTCAGATGGTTGCCCATGAACAGTTATCTGTTGTCATTATTTTAAGATTACAAAAACATTTTCAAGAGGACTGATGGTAGGGAGCAGTTGTACTCAGGGAGGTCAGTGGGGAATTATGTCAGCTACTATGTGCGTTTGTAAGCAGTGCGTATGGTTTTCACTTCTGCTACTTGCCGACTTATCATGTGTAGATCGCCAACCTTACTATCATGGCAAGGCGACCATAGTCGTCTTCGGTTCCTTCAGTGAATATGTGATTCCTTGTTGTTTCTTGTTCACGCAAACCGGTGTGGCTCAAGATCGTACACTCTTATTATCAAAGTACACCCTGACAATAAGTGTTTTTGAACATGCAGCTTTATCCCCCACCCGGACCCGTATAGCCTTTTGCCCAATATTGATTACGAGGTTTGTTTTCCTGGTCAGAATTACGTGATTGCATTGCGATACAATGAAATAGAGACTATTCAACATTTGTTGACCAATTTTGGGGTGTGCCTACGACACATTGTAACATCAAGTGAAGGTGAAACTGAACTCAGGTACATGCCAAAATTGTCAATGCAAGGCCAGCCGGCAGTCGAAATTTTGCTCGTTGTGTTCCTGAAATCCTGGTAAGTGGAGATATTTTGTGTGTCATCAACCATCTTCATTCATACTGATGCTAAAAACGGAAAAATTTGGTTTTTTCTGGTAGTCGCCCTCCACAGACATCTCACGGTCAGCAGTGCCTGACGGAAAACATATGTATTTTCAAACGATGCTTTCGGAGTTGTATTGCCATTCATGAGACGATTATAAAATGTCGGAAGTTTTGCACAGAAACCTGATGAGCATTGAGCTGAAAATTCTAAAATGCAATGGGTGAAAGGCCGCGCTAGCAATTTATATTTGTCTCGACCAAATACTTGAACACATTAGTGTATTATGATTCAGACTAATTTCCATCTCACGAATAATCAAAATAAAGAGAGCTGGCTCAAAATGTCGTCATGAACATAAGAGCAAGCAGCAGGTTGCGTCAAACGTGAGTAGAACACTCTATTTCTTGCGGAACAGACGCGCAGTAAACCGATGAACCTGGCAGTGTAAATTGCTTGACGGTTGTTAGTCCAACCGGTTGACATTCGATAAAATGACAAAGTGGACGGCAATAACAAGTCACAAACAAGGCTTCATAGGAGCCTAAGCCCTGACGCACCACAAAACAGTTCGAATCCAAAATCAAGTGTTCAGCCGACCAACGAACCACCTCATTTAAACGTCTTGGGTCCTAGAAAGACGTCCACTTCCAATTCAGCTGAACGATGGAAGGAAGAAACATAGAAATCAGCCAAATTGGTCTGTCTTTAATCAGTGGCCGAATAATCCAACACCTGAGGACAACCAATGTAACTTTTTAAAATAGCTAGCTCATGATTTAGAAGTTCACTGAGCTTTTATCATTGAGCTGATAATGGTGGCAGTTATTTGGGGGGGAGGGGGATCTTAGCACCGGGCTAGAGACATCTGTTGCTGCATTTGAGCTTACCGCCTCATAAATAGTTAACTGTAACATAATTGTCGGCTTAGGTGCCAAATGTGTCCGGAGCAATGGTGAGTTTAGCAGACTATTTGGAATTGTGCTTTGGTTCAGAGTGATTCGTGGTTCCTGGTTAATTTTTCAGTGGCACTGGAGTACCAGACACATTCTTAACAAACAGGCCAGACAACAATAGAATAGTCGATAACCATAGCCTCTTCACTCTTATGCAAAACGAAGTGCATGACAGCCTCATCGCTGTTTACCTTCTGCCAGCAAAAGTGGACTGGTAATAAGGGGTTGTAGATTCAAGCCCTCAACGGACGTAATCACCATGTGCATTCACATTTTTAATGCATGAATTGGAAGTCTAAAAAATTAAGGTGCCGTTGAATAGGCAGAGATTTTTTGTCCACTGACTACCTGGTGAAATAACTTCATTGTAATAATGAGTTCTACGCAAAATCGCTTTATTCCCATTCAGTAAAAACTGGTAGTCTGGAAGCAGAGGCAGCTATCAGAATATAATCTCATGTTTCAAATACCGTCTACCTTTCCATCAAAAATGGAGCTCAACCTGTCTCTTTGATGGTTTTTATGAACGTTTGTAACCAACGTTTGAAAAACGCCATGGAATGCTTGCCATATGCCATATATTCTGTTGGCAGGCTAAAATCCGGTAGCTTGAAGATGCAAACAACTTGCTTAGTCTGTTTGGTAGCAATCTTTTGAATGATTTCGCCGTCATTCTTTTGAGTTCGTTGAAGGTTCTGCGTGGACATAATTCCTAATGTAGGTATAAGCAGTTGACCAGTATCAAACTCAAACCTTTACTCACTCTTTTTGCCACTTAATCACTCAGTGATCGATGTGATGAGCAGCCTTAGAGGCGAGGTTACAACTACCCTTCAGTTTCTCCAACTACATTACTGCAAGAGAGCAATACAGCTCGATCTGTTTGACTTTGACGGTATTCCGTTTATTCATACATAGGTAGGCTATCTGTTTGCTCTATGCCATAACTGGACTTCTTTCCTCATATTGTTGGTTGTCTACCCCTGAAGATACTCTTGTTCAATAAAATGATGTTGCTGAAAAACTAATGTGATTGTTCTTGACAAAGACCACAGCGTTAGTAAAAAGAGGAATGCAATTGCAGCTGTGAATACCTAGAGTGACGTCAAGAATCTTGGTTGCGTCTGTTACTCAAGCCTGATTCAAGAAGCCCTTTATTAGTTCAGTTACCCGTATGCAAATGCTTCGTATCTTATGAATGCAGATGTGAACGACGCCAACGTGGAATCGGTCAGTCCACAATTGCAGTTGTTACGTATCACTTCAAATCAAAGAGTCAATGAGACCTATCTGTGCTCACAGAGAGGGTGATTTCTCGGTGATACGTTTAGTCAGCCACAAATTATACATGACAAATTATACTACAGTGCACGGTTCATTTTATTTCAGGAAAACAAATATCTGAAAACTCTGAATCTGTCGTTCAACGGTATCGGTCCAAGAAAAGGGTGCCCGGAGTTAGCATTGGCCCTAAAAGGAAACAAAACTTTGGAAAATTTGGACATAAGGTAAGTGAATTAATCAGAAAGGAAGACCTACTGAGTATAAGTGTGCCGATTGATGTGCGGGGCCAAAGAAGTTGGTAGATCTGTGATATTTTCACTGTCTTTTTAGTGTTTCTTGTCAGGCGGTAATTCACGGAGTCATCAAACACGGTTCGCCAGTCCACATTTGGAGGTATGTTCACCGAAGCAGGTCTATCAACTGAGGAAGATCAAAGAACTCATTTACGATTACATTTTAGGTGGGGTACAGATCTCGTAGAAAATTCTCTTTATTCTTCGGTCACGGATTCACTATGCTATCACTCATTGCTTCAGAGGGCTCTACGAAACAACTTACCGGACTTGGGTGTGTTCACTTTGCAGTATATTCCCCCCTCGTCAGATGACGACAGTGGGATTCCGCTAGGCGTCATGAAGGCGAATAAATCAAATAACAGCATCATCAAAAGTAAGTATATACATACATACATACATAATACATACATACATACATACATACATACATACATACATACATACATACATACATACATACATACATACATACATACATACCAACATACATACATACATACATACATACATACATACATACATACATACATACATACATACATACATACATACATACATACATACATACATACATACATACATACATACATACATACATACATACATACATACATACATACATACATACATACATACATACATACATACATACATACATACATACATACATACATACATACATACATACATACATACATACATACATACATACATACATACATACATACATACATACATACATACATACATACATACATACATACACATATATTTCATAGCCTTCCACTCGTTTGTCTCGTGGAAGGTGTGTCGTTAAGAAGCAACATCCTGGCTTTGTTCGTGTTTATCGCTTATTAGTTCCATGGCAGAATACCTTTATTTTCCTCATCTTATATCTAATGGTTAACTTCATCCTACAGGATTTACTTTCAGAAGTTTTTCCACATTTTTTCACCTTCAGTGGCAATCGAATATCTCCCGAAGGCGCTGTACTTCTGAGCAAAGGTTTGTACTCGAACACAACTTTACGGCGCATAAAGGTTAGTAAGCATTTCAGGTGGTTTAGTCGATCGGTTCAGATTGGTTCACCTAAGCTAACGTTAACCACGTATGCAAGTATGGTGCTTCTGAATGCCACGGATGCCAGTTGCCGGAGATGCCAAAGTTTGTTAGAAATTAAACAAAAAGAAAATTAATAAAGGGACCGATATGACAGTTTCACTTTATCTCCTGATATGCAGAACACCATATAGGCAAAACCACGAGGGATATCATAAATACGCAAGTATCCTATTGGTAGCCTAAGTAAACGATCATAATGGTGAATAAGCACACCTGGGATGCCCACACTGGAGTCGCCAGCTGGAACAGACCCGTAAGCCAGGATTTTCATTCGTCCGAACTACTCACAAACCGAGAGTAGTTCAAGCGTAACGAAAATTACTGTGTTCTCTGCCGTACTGTCAGACCCGGCTGAGCACCCGAAGTACAGGGATGTTGAGGCATGAAGAATTACAGTTTTAACCCCAAAATAAAAACCAAGTTGAGTTTGTACATAAACTGTGGTAAGTTAGAGACGTTGCTATTACAATGAACCCGAACTGCGACCATAAGTGAGGCCGAACCTGGTCGTCAAAAGTCCCCTTCTGAACAATAACGAATACATAAACGAAACTACTCACAAGGTTGTTGAAAACTCTTCGACAGCCCACGACCGGTTTCACCCTTTTTGGGGCTCATCAGGTAGGTGCAGTATCCTATTTTCCGTCGACCTTATGCTCTACTTGAACCCAAATTGCACTGTTTTCGAGAAATACACTCATTTGCAAATCAATTTGGTTTTCACGGTAGACTCAACTGAATCTCTCGTTTTATCTCGAGTGTATTTCTCAAAAACAGTGCAATTTGGGTTCAAGTAGATCATAAGGTTGACGGAAACTCGGATACTGCACCTACCTGATGAGCCCCAAGAAGGGCGAAGCCGGTCGTGGGCTGTCGAAAAATTTTCAGCAAACTTGTAAGTAGTTTCCTTTATGAAAATATACTGCGACATCTCGAATATCGTGCCAACTGAATCATGAGGCGGCCTGTGTGCAGCACATTCAGCTAGAGAGCATCATAAACGAGAGATTCAACTGAGTCTCCCGTGAAAACTAAATTGATTTGCAAATGACTGTATTTCTCAAATAACGAATACACTTCGAGAACGATGTATTGTAGTGGAAATTTTGGGAGGCTTACCAAAACGATACCACGTTCACAATTTGGGTGACTTTATCTCTACCACTCTTGGCGTGGCACTCACAGGTATTAATGACGATTCCGTACCCGCGGCTTTTTTCACTGGCCTTGTGCTTCATTGCAAAAGAAGAAGGTCCAAGGTTCATATTACTCAGCCCAAGAACAAAAACTACTTAGTTAAAATATCTTCCGCAAATCACGGTTGGTAGCATTTCATCTGAATCAGAAATTTTATCCCATAACAGCTTGCTGCTGGAAAAATAGGGATATAACGGTGTTAATGGGTAGCCATCCTGCGCTTTTACACATTCAGCTGCCTATGTATTCTCTTATTTCCAATTTCGTTGAAATTCCTTTCAACTCGAATTCTCTTTTGGTCTAGCATTACTAAACCACTAGATGTTGGCACCCCATCCACCCGACAAGACGTCTACTGCAAATATGTTTTGACCAGTCCGGGACATGTCAGTGGTTAGAAACACTGACAGATGTGGTCCATTTGCGCGCTCATTGGTGCGCACGCATCCAAGCTGTTGGCTTCAGAGCGCCCATCCGAATCACTAGTGTAGTGTCCACTGTCATGAATTCATGCCTTAAGTCTGTCAGTTTCTGCACATATGCGTAGCTATTCCCTCCGTCTTCTTAGATCACCGGTGGGCGAAACTGTTTTACCGTGCAACATGTACTTTGCTGAAATATGTTGAAAGTGATGTCTATAAGAGCGATCTCAGTTGTGTTCCATGATAGCTAGTTTAACCATTTCTAGTTGAAGGTATAAAATGGGATGAACAACGTTCTATGGAATCCAGCTACCAGTAAGAAAAGTTAACCCCAAAACAAGTAATTGCCGTTACCTAGAGGAGTCCCACGTAACTTGTTACGTACACTCTCCTTCCCCTTGATGGACACGTAATAGAAGGTTATGGTAGACTACGACTAATTGTTTTGCTTGCTTCCAACCAGAATTGCAAATCTTCTCGTTCATATGAGGGCTATAACCTTTTAATCTTGCACGTATTAAAGCCACTAGTGTGTTAAGTGATACCGATGAGGCTTGAGCTTACTCAAGCTAAGTTTGCTTGTTAACTGATAGGTCACGACGTTGCTAACAAGCAGACCGTTGCTAGTAGGCGTGCGTAGCTAAGGAAGGATGAACTGGTAGCTTTTGTCTTGCTGGGTGGAAGAAAGTTAACGGTTGGTCTGCTAGTACCGTATTAGCATCGTCATGAATTGAACACACGCTAAAATCACTCAAAAAAGAAGCAGAGCACTGTGATGCTGTTCACAAAGAATATGCCTACCTTTAGTCCCCAATTTCTAAAACAGAACGAAACGATGGAAGAAATTCTAACTTTTCTGAACTAGTTTTGTTTGGTGATAACATTACAGTCTGCTTTGAATAACAATTCAATCTTCAATTTATCAGCCATAAACCATGAACCATGAGTACAATAGTTCCAGTTGCTGCAGTTTTGACCATTGAGAGAGCGGGAAATACGGTCAAGCCTTGGAGGCGATGGCATATTCAATTAGTTCGTGAACTGGCTAGCTGTCCAGCGATAGCCTGGATTCATTTGTGCCACTGACTGCGCAATTGAGCCATTTCCGCTGGTATCATTAACCACTGATGAGTTGAGTTCTGGTGTCCCCATCCGGAGAGGCAGCAGTGGTCGACACAACTAAGCTTATTGGTTAGCGTTTTCGTGCTTCGTCGCCATGTCATACACCGTCTTCCTCTCAGTCGCTTGCACTCAACAGAGGACTGGGCAGAAAGAGCTCTGCGAGGCAGACGGTCTTCTGGCGTGTGCAGTACATGTCCTAACTAGTGTGATTTATGAAGTATGAGTAATTCACCTAGTGTGGGAGAGCCCCCTCTTCATAAGACCATCTGGCTTACCTCAGCATTGCTAATCCGATGTTCCCACCAGACCCGGTTAATGCTTCGGAGACACCGATGGTCAAACATTGGCATGTTTCTTATGTCCCCTTCGGTTACAAGCCACGTTTCTGATCCAAAAAGCAGTATGGACCGCACAGTTGCAGTGTAAGCTGTACCCCTAACAGACAAACTCACGTCACGTCTGCGCCATAGGTGTCGGAGGTTGGCGAAAGCTGCACTGCCCTTCCGGACTCGGGAAGTAATCTCATCTCCAGCCAGTCAACCGGAACTTATACAAATTATACCACGTCGACTGGCTCGCCTGAAAGCATGTTAGGGTTTGATCCAATCTAGTCTTATAGCAGCTCTTTCACTTTGCATGTGTGAAGCACCTGCCAAACCATGTGATAGAGTTATTTAGGTTATTTAAAATCGTCTGCGTACTCACTGTCTGTGAGTGAACGTCCCGGGAGCATTCCGACTCTCAAGGTTTTGGAGGCAGGAACAGAAATTTCAATCAATCAATAACAGAGTTGAGGAGGAGAGGTTAGAGAAGGCAGTCATGTCTTACATCATTGAACGTGAAGAACTCCGGAGAAAGCTTGCCGTATGTTCGTATGAGTCGACGGTAGGTCTCGTACAGAGCCCTCATAAAGGATATAAGTTTGGAAGGGACACCTTTGATTGCCAGATACTGCCAGAGTTCCTGACGATCGACAGAATCAAACGCAGATTCCAACTCAAGAAAAACGACAAACATGCGACCTCTAAAGGAGTAGCGCTGTTCAAGAATTTGTTTCAACGTAAAGATATGGTCGTTACATCTTAGGTTAGTGCGAAACCCAACTTTATTCTCACATGACGTTCTTGCGCGTTTTCTGAATACTGGAATGACGGTCGAGGATGTTCAGTCGGCTGGTATTTTATTTTCGTTCCAAATCTTGTGCAGTATAGTCGTGAGACTGTCCACCAGGACCTCACCAGCTGTGAAGAGTGCCGGGGCAGACCATTCAGGCCAGGTGCTTTGTTGCGCTTCGGGATTGATACCTCATGTTGGATTTCGGTTGCTGATTGAAGGTTGGTGTCAGTGTTCCATCCGGGCCTACTGGGTCCTTTCAAAGGTTGTGTCGAGGGGAGCCAGCCGAACTATTCCTCCAAGTGTCCAAGTCATCGCTGAAGGTGACGATTCGGGGAGTAAAGTGCCATTCAGTCTTATTCGCATATTGTTTCACTGGCACCTACTTTCTTTTGACCGATTGATCGGATCAGCTGAAACAGGGCGCAGTTGTTGCCTGCAGCCAAAGCCTTCTGCATCTCCTGGGCCTTCGAAATACACCAGCATTATTTGTCATTCTTCAAGCCTCTGATTATGCGGTGTTTGAGGGATCTGCGTGCGCCATCACAGTCACTAGTTGCTGGTATGTGCTTTCTGGCCTCAATAGGATCTTCTGATCACGAGAATATCCAGTGTTCATGTACTCGCGTCAGATGGCTTCGAAAACAGTCCTGAAAGCCGAGAGTATAGCTTCTTTACTTCGCCTCCATTCAGTTTCCAAGCAATCTTCGTCGTTTGCATGACTGCACGTTTCCAGTAGCTTTCTAGCCAGATCATCTCGATGCTCCTGAGCAACTCAAACGTGTTGAAGTTGATGAGCGGAGTTGCTCTCTTTTGGCATGCATAATGGTGATGGGAAGCGAAGTGCTGACCGGGTACGCACGATGGCATAATCAGGATCAAGTTGCTTATCCCAGAAGGAACGACAATCTTTAACTGAGGCTCCTCATCGGTAACTGATAGTCATCTGATCCAACTGGGTCCACGACTATCTTGTGGTGGGTGGCCTCCAAGTAACTTATGGGTGTTGGAAATTCGCATTGGCCAGAAACAGACGATGATCTGCACATAACCGAAGGAACCGCTCTTCATTATCCCTGCGTTCAGCAGTGGGTCCAANCTTCATTATCCTGCGTTCAGCAGTGGGTCCAAATCTGCTTCATCCGAGCTTGTTGCTCCAACTTGAGAATTCACATCACCCGCTAGGATTGGTTTATCCGTCGTTCCTGCCGACCGCAGCAATCGTGATAAATGCTGATAAGACCCGTCTTTCTTAGTCTCAGACTTTCAGTCTGTTGGGTGAATGTTGGTAGGATAAATAAATTACATTTACTGCATCGACTTGCATTGATCTTAATTGGGATGGACAACCGCATGCGCAAAGACCACTGTTTACTGGGATCCAGTCCAGTAAGTAGATTTAAGCTTTGGAGCTGAGTTCAATCCGCACACCGTAGATACTAGAAGCCGTTGCATCAGGATCACCGGATACCCGAGGAGTGAAATGTGGAATATCTGAGCTCTTGGTAGGTGGATTGATGTGTACACTGAAGTGGGATCTCTTATGCATGTTTCGGGGAAAAAACGTGCATCGACAGATAGACAAAGCAAGGTTCCAGCAAGAGATGCCTGTTGCCCAATTTGACATAGAGTACGGATGTATATCAGATCTTTTGAGGTTAGTAAGTTACAGCTTTGGTTTATTTTTCTGGTCGACGGTTTAGACACGGGACAATAGCTAGAGGATTGGGGGATGGGCTCACCACACTGCATCATTCGATGGATGGGCAGGGGTGTAGGGGGAGGCCAGTGAGCGAAGAGCTGCAAGAGCATATGACACTTTCCGGTTGTCCAGACCGAAGAATGGGGTTCGGTTGAGGTAGCCCACCTTGAGCCTCTGACTCAAAAGTCTGAAGCGCGATGCAGCGTGTGCTGTTTTTTTTTGTGTGTATGGGGGGGCTTTCCGGAGCCAATGACTCAATGGTCCAACCCACTTGGGTGTAGGAGGCCGGCCTGGCTCGAGGAGGCCCGAGTGCTGGCTGCGCACAGCAAGTGCCCTTTGAACGGTACCAGACAATTTGGTTTTCGAAATATTTTAGTCGCACCGGCGGTCACAATCAAACTTTGGGGGATCGGAGTGTGTGGTTTTTTCAAGATGACTTCTAACTCATCCTTCCTCGGGAAAAGGCAGCATAGCTGATTCCATAAATGTGGATATGCTGGTAGCCTAGAGGAAACGACTTAATGCCTTTACAATCCTGTCGCAAATGGCAGTACGACTTACCTCCAGACCGCTTCATAATACGATTACTCGCAGTTAGGGGACTCGTTGCTCGTCGGGCTGGTCCTCTTTGGCCTTCCCAGCATGGTTGAACCTTGGGGAACTGAGCCCCAGCCAACATAGCCCTCAGGATCATTGCAACACAGAAGCCCAACCATCAAGATAATGTGACATCTTTAGGTCGGATTGTGATTGACAGTTCAAACTGGCAGCTAGCGGTAGAGCTAATTTGGCACATCCCATTTAACTCACCATATTTTATATCGGTACTTTTCAGCATTAAGCTCAGAGTCTATGGTGAATATTCAGCGATGAGGGAATGACTTTAATGTATCGTGACAATTTCACTGTCACTTTTTATTCGACTGGCCAAAGCCCTTAAATTCTACGGAGAATCGGAGTAGATAACATCCACATATTTACTGTATTCCCCTGTTTACTGTCAACAGTTGTCCAGGAACCCGCTTCAGACTGCTGGATGTTTTGCCTTGCTGACCGGATTACTACGAAATATCAACAGCGGACTACGAGAACTTGACCTATCTGTAAGTTAGACCTTCCCCGTTTTTTCCTCTGGCATATGTATGCCTTGGTGTATTGTTCTGAACTTTCAACTGTAAAGTGGGGATGGGGAATATCCTATCTATTCGTCCCCGCTCACTGAACAAACCGACGAGTAACTACTCGGTGGGACAGCTACACTTGGTCGTATAATCAGTAGCTTCAGGCAGTAGGTTGTCGCTCCATGGGTGGACTTTTGATTGATAACTCTAACGAGAAATCTGGTAATAGCAACAGTATCAGAAATGTGTCAGCCGTTTACTGGCATAAGGAGTGAGATTGAACTAAACCTGCTGTGGAGCAGGTCGTTAGCCCTTATTAGATTCTCCTGAGTGTTTCTATGGTAACTTCTCCAACAACAATCAGTACTTGAAAACCCTCCAGATTTTCATAGCATGTTTATCAGATGCAACTAAATGGAATCAGTACATGGCATTTTTGACAATCCATGTTTTGCAACTGGTTAACACAACCAAATGACGTTTCTCAATGACTACTTTAGGGCATTCCGGTTAACAGTGACTTTCGGGATCTTCAAGACACGGCCCGTCGTACCTTACCTAACTTGGTTATTAGAGCTGGCAAATTCACGACGGACAAAGTTCGAGCTATATCCGCGAAGCTACTGATGTCGAATCCAAGCCCAAAGTACATTATACAAACTATGGGACATGTGACAGGACACACGTTGGGCAGCATGCTTCGGCCACTCGATACAACTGGAGACAAACTTGTTACTCGACAAGCCTTCATAAGAGTTCTTAATGTGAGTTTCTACCATGATATTATAATTTTGATTTTTGCATATTTGTGTTTGAATAACTCTAGTTATAGCAAAAAATCGTCGAATTCACCAACGAGACCATATTGTGGATAGTCTTTGGTTCTCCAAATTACAGTAGAACCGTTCCCGCTTGGAATCGATACCGAAGTAATCGTTTCAGAGAATTTCGAAAGACAATAAGTCTACCGGTTGTCCTCCAATGGATACAACAGCATTATGTCTGAGCAAAAGGAGTTCAGTGGACATGTTTTGACGGATCTCGACCGGATAGTGCATTTGAATATTGATGGACTACTACAAACAGAATGCATAAATTTAGAATCAGTACTCAGAGTGGGTAACAGTCAGAAAACACGAGTGGCGTTTGCTCTTCGTTGGTCTGCGGATTGCACACATGATTGAATGTCTTAACAATCCGAGTGCGACAGGTTCAACCGTGATCATCGTCACTTGCCGAACTATTTTGGACCGATTACTGGAACCCAAAAACTACTTTAATTTTTTAAATAGGGTTGATCTGGTGGCCTATATCCAGTACATGGTTTAGGATTGCATCGTTGCGTCATCGCTTCTTATCTCATAGTATGAGGGATTTCGGAGAAAACCGATTGCATCTTAGAGTGAAGGGTCTATCTGTACAAAGTCCACATGGACTGAACAGTGCATGAACACTCATCGACATTTCATACAAGCGAAATTTAGTTCGCTGTCTATAGAACATGGCCAGACTGATTTGGTCAACTGATATTCCAGATGGAAAACCACATTCATAGCATCTCTTGAACTTTGTTGGAAGGACTATGCAGATGATACCAACGAGCGGAGAACACCGTCAACTATTACGTTTAAAAATAGACAGTGCTTCGGAATACATTAAACATTAGGCAAAACAGTCATTCAGAAGAATGCCATATGTTGCTGAGCTGGAATACTCGTCTTACTGCTCACCAATGTTGTTCACCAATGCTGTATGCGAATATCAAGGACAGGTCATCTGTTCCCGACTCAGCAATGGTAGTATGGTCATTTGTTTCAGTGTGTTCCTCACAAACTACATAATTTCGAATTTTTCACGTTGTTCAAGTGGCTATCACTCAGCGACGCAGTTGGGAGCAACAATCAGGCGCTCCTATTTGCATCCTGCCACATTCCACTGCATACATCTCTTTGTTTTGTTTAATTCAAAGTGCCCCAAACGTAAAAACAGGTTGTTTCTGGTCGGACGCCTTGCTATTACGAGGCTGATTGTTTATCATCGATTATGGGTTTGAAGGTGAATAAGAGTGCACTGTTCCAGAAATCAATTGTCAGTAAGTTTGATCTGTACATTTCGCTCGGTGTGCAATAAATCAGTCAGTTTTCCTGGAACCTTTCGACGAGGAACAAACTCATCTTCCGCGCTTTCTTAAGCAGTCCCAAAACCAAGTTTACATATCATGGCTCATATGTGTCTGTTCATTTGCATCTGGTGGGCATCAATGATCGCGTGATGTGTATATCTACATTTTCGCGACAATCCGGGGAAAGGACGTCTACCCATCATTAACTTAACAACCGGTTGTGTCCGGTAAGGTTGGTCGATACACAGACAATAGATCGAACCAGAATTTGGCTACCAAACTAGTAAGGACGTTGCAGAAATAGGGGTATTGTCTGACAACTGCATTTTTAAAACGACAAATCGCAGGCTATACTGTACCAACAATTTGACGTATGCTATGCGGACATGAAGCGCCTCAGACCAATAAGTGTGAGCCGAGAGAGCAAATAAAGCAAAATCACTTCACCTTCGTTCGGAAACTGAATGTGAAGGAGGACGTAGGATACAAATTATTAGAACGGTTACTCGTTTTATCAAACCACCATCGCTGATGATGCGTACCTTCCTAAACAGTAATACCGTTACGTTTAATAAAAGTAAGATTAGAGTTGGCGGACACTAAGATCAATAATAAACCTTTCGGGACAAGGTAACCTGTAATGGTTGTGTTTGAAAAGTACAATCTAGCTACGACTTTAAGACCAACAGAGGCAACTGGGCTCCATGAATGCATATATTTAGGTAAGTGAATCACTTATTGGATGCCTTGTAAGCCACTATTGGTGCGCCAACTGAGAGAGTCGTGCAACAGGATGCTGCAGTACTAGACCCCACGGAATATACATAACCAGATGATTAAAACTAGTCGATTTTTTCTTTGTTGGCTCACTTTCCCAGGAGGAAGTATCCATGTTTTAAGAGTTGCCATTTGCTACTTTAACGTATGCCAGGATGTTAAACACCCTTTGCAGTTTACTATTCATTATATTCAATGTGGCGTTTATTCTGTCCTTCCTTTTCCAAATTTCTACACCGAATCTGTTCGAAAAGGAATACCTAGCCGTAAGTCCCTTTTTGTTGTGATTTCGCTGGTTTCTTATTAAAAACGCTGTTTGTCGTAGCTACCATGTTTGTCATTCTTTTTAACACCCCCTGAAGACTTTTGGGTTTTAGGGTCTAGGTAAATAAGTCTTGATAACCAAGTTAAGGAAACAGAAAAGAATTTACCGATGTTATCGCTACATTTCTGGGCAGCTAAATACAACCAGTGCCCATAGCTTACTTGCGTTCCAGCTTAAAGGTTGGTAAAATTCTACATTAACTGTGGCCGGTGTGTCATTCTCCTGTTCGTATCCCAGACAACAATGTTCGCAACGATCAATATCGAATCGAACCTAAAAACGTCTGTTTTTAGTGCGTCAACAAGGGTGCCTATATGTCGCAGAGCCCAACTACACTCACTGAAGCATCTGCACACTCACATCCCCGTACTTCGAACAATGACGATCATATATCATGGACAACCATAAGTTGCATCCACATCCCAAAGAAAAGTTAAGTCTTGAATTCCTAACTACAGATCTGTAGGGAATGATTCACCATAAGCAGACATGGACAAAAAGTACTGCGAAGAGAAATGGACTAGTGTATAAAGTTTCTATTCAACTCAGATCTATTTTGGAACCGACTTTGGCTATCTTGTCCGCATATCAACTTAGAATGGAGGGAAAACCAATGGTCAGAGAAAACGTCACAAACGAGAGATTCAGCTGGGTTCCAGGTGAGTCTCTCGAAAAACCAAATTAGTTTGCAAATGAGTGTATATTCGCTGATGGTTAGAGAACTTTGGGGGAAAGGATAACGACAAATGTAAGGTTGCGCTGAAACAATTTTGCCGTATACTGTTGAAAATAATGTCACGTTCGGGTCCTGAAGACGAAACCATACACAAAAATAGAAGAGCTTTTGTTGAAATTGTTTGCATGACAAAATACGAATGCTGAGTGGTACACAAAGTGAATTCCATAATATCAAACAACGTGTAAATGTCGACAAGCAGCACAGTTGAAAACAAAATCTGAGAGCATTGTCTGACTTAGGTACTGATGAGTTTAGACCTCAGTGAATGAATCGCTCAGAGAGAGAGACGTTCCTGGCTGGATTTCTCTTATCTGAATTTTTTTGTATTGCGAAGTGTCACAAATATGACGCATTTAGTCATAGCGAGAGTATCATTCTCGCTGCCATTCTAATCCTAGCTAGTGCTCATCCATTCACCGACAAATTCTGATCACATTCTTTCAGAAAATTGGGCTAGAATTCACCGAAGAACAAATCACTCAACTGGTAGAAGAAGTTGATCCTCAAAATGAGGAAGAGATCGACTTTAGGTAAGTGATTTCTGCATTAAGGCTCCTGTGCGTCGATGTTTTGAGCCTCAAACAACAATTGGTCGTGCTTTCATCGTGACAGACTCATGCTCAAGTACTTCATTCAATCGGCTGTTGGTCTTGGCAATCGGTCTAAAAACGTGCCATCACCGGTCTTCGGTAAATTGTGATCTGTGCTGACACTGAGTAGTACATGCTGTTTGTGCTGGATTCAGGCGATCATGATTCGTCATACGCCTATCCTTGGGAGATCGTATTCTCAATCATATCCAACAGAAACCGACAGAAGAGAAACAGATCTTACACCCGAACAAAAACAGCCTCTATCCGTCCATAGTTGTCCACTTAACAAACTGTTGGGTAGTTTCAGTGACTAGACAGAATCAGCCCAAAAAACCAAAAATTTTCCGCTTGTCAGAACACACTGACCAAACGGATGTGTTTGTTTCTATGATCCGTCCGAATCGAGATGCACACTCGTCCGTAAGGTTCTTTATGCATTCGTACGACTTCCGCGAATTTAGATGAGATTGTCCCAGGATCTCCGATTTCTGCACGGACTAAACTGGACGTGATTGGTCGAATGGGTCATGTTCTCAAACTCTAATGACCACCTGGCAAAGAAAATCAAGTACGATAATGAGCAGAGTTGATTATGATCATAATGCAGAACGTGCACATTTTGATACCACTTAGCAAACAAAAATCTGACCATCAAGACTCACATTCCAACCCCGAAATTTCTCAGGAAAGTAGAAGAAGTCGGTGCATCACTTTGATTTGTGATGTACCAAAAGGCCCCCCGGCCTTATATTTTTATGGCTGAACGAAAATACACAAACCTGGTGTGCCTAAGAAGTCCATCGAAGACTGCACACGCGGACATTAGCAAGATAAACTCTTCTCAAAACTATCGGAAAGTATACGCCAACCATAATTAGGAACCGTTCATCTGATCGTCAAGTTAAATGGCATGCTCCGATACCGTCTCCTTTTTACGAGGGTGCCAGTATGTCCTTTACAGACTCCTAGAAGAAACCAAACACCACCTGACCGTTCATCCCTAACTGTTGAAGAAACACTAGGGGCTATTTAACTATGCATTGAATCCACATTTTTCACTTTAAAATGGAAACACTATTGAGAAGCGGTGGGGTCGCTGATTTTTTCCAACATATATATATACGAGACTTAGAAGAGCAAATGGATAAAACCATTGCAATTCCACTGAAAATTTGATGACGCTAAGTTGATGAGACTCTGGCCGTCACCAAATCAGACATTGTTGAAGCTTTCCTCATGCAAATTAGTAACTCAGATGTATAAAACAAACTGATGTACAGAATAAACACAACAGTTCACCAGAAGGAAGCTTAGTTAAACAGATCATCGCGTCTCAACTCCAAACACTCAAAATGCACTAAGCACGCAGAACTTGGTAAGTTCATCCAAAAACGCCTGCGCCTTCTCCTCCTTTTCCAAGGCGAGAACGGTATTGTCCGCATTTTTCAGATCAACAATGCCTTCATCGGCAATTATTTGAATCCCAGGGTTTCCCACGTTCACTTCATTATCTCATCGATCCGAAAATTAAATAGGAGTGGAGAGTTGGTATCCCTGAGATACACCGCTTTATGTACGGAAGGCTTTGGATAGCTCTCCGTACACTATCACCAGTCCGGAAGTTCGAGAATACAAAGAACGTATTACATTGAAAAATATCCGGGGCTACTTTGTCCGTTCAGATGCAAAACCACGTCCACCCCACTATTCCTTTCTCTGCTGAGCCCGGGATGACTGTAGTTAAAGCATGAACTCATTGACTAGAAGATACATAGTCAGAACCCAACCTTTGCATCTCGATTCCTCCTGCCTAGGCTTGGGCAACCTGGCAGTATCTCAGCCTCCGGGCTTTTTCGCGTGGCTAGGTGGCTAGATAGCGGCTGTTACAGCTGAATGATTACTATATTGTCTCACTGCCGCTGTGCCAACAGTGCTGGTGTTCTCGCTTATAGTCCAAACTGTAAACAGAATACCATTTGATAAAGAACTTCTAGGAGGGTGTGACCTTATCCTACCAGTGATATCCTTTGCGGAGGTTGAACGGTATAACCCAGACAGCGAGCGAACGACACTACATCTAACTGTGGGCCAGGACGATTGTGCACAACCCCAAATACGGCTTATATTTTATCCTATTTACTTTATCGCGACCTTCTCTGACGCGAAGTTGCGACAGCTCACCTGATGTAGTAAATTGCTGCTGCTCACTAACACCTATTAACGGCTAAGTCCGTACACAGAGTTAAATAAATCAAGGTAAATCAAGGTTATATTGGTCTAGAGAGCATTTTGCTTTACAATGACCAAAGGATATTTGTGTGTGTGTATGTATACAGATAAACGGAATGATATGACATATATGTTCTATTGTTTGTAATCCGCATCTCAAATGTTGATGAGGGAAGTTGGGTGAGATCTTATGTATTCGTCAAGCGAATGCTTGAAAGTCTCGAGGTTATCACAATCCACAACAGATGTTGGTAGTTTGTTCCACGTGAGGGATACGCGGACTGAAAAAAAGTAGCGCGGACAGTTAATGCGGGAACATGGAATGTCAACGGCCAATGGATTCCGTCGGGTCTGTCGGGCCAAATTAACTGTGAACAAATGTTTTAAAGGGTGATTAGGGGTGTTTATTATCTTGAACATCAGGATGAGGTCTCCTCGTATACGCCGATAAGTTAAATCAAACAAATCGAGTTTACGTAGCCTTTCACTGTAGGGAACGTTTCGGAGGCCAATGACCAGCTTGGTCGCGCGGTGGTAGATACGCTCTAGCAGTTGTGTATCCTTTTGCAGCCATGGAGACCAGGCTTGGATCGCGTATTCCATTGTCGGCCGGAGATACGTGTTCATGATAATAGGGAGAATTTCAGGCGTAAAACGATAAAATATTCTCCTAAGCATCCCGAGCAGTGCCGAAGTCTTGCGATATACTGATAGACAGTGTTTACTCGGCTTCAGGTTGCTAGAAATCCAGACGCCGAGGTCTTTTTCCTCAGCCACCCATTCCAGTTCATTGGATCCCAGTTTGTATGGGAAGTGGTAGCTCTTCCCCAGATTTATTAGTTTGAATTTCTGGGAATTCAGCGGCAGCCGGTTTTGGATGGACCATTCGTCGATTCTTTGCAGATCTTGCTGTAGCGCATCACAATCAGCATCATCAGCAAAAAGTACGGTTTTGCACTGCAGAAGTTTCGGCAGGTCATTCATGTATACCAGGAACAAAATTGGACCAAGAACCGAACCCTGAGGGACACCACTTGTGGCGACAATTTTATCGGAAAACGCTCCATCGACACGAACTTGGACCGAACGGTCACTCAAATAGTCTTTCAGCCAGCTCAACAGATTTCCCGTCACGCCATACATTTCAAGTTTCCGAAGAAGGATACTGTGATCGACTCGATCAAAGGCTTTGGATATATCCAAGTAACAGGCATGTACAGTAACTCCCGCATCGACTGCTCGTGTCCAGTCATCGAGTGTCACGAGGAGATTGGATAAACAAGAACGATTCTGTCGAAATCCGTGTTGTTTATCGCTCAACAAGGAGTGAATTTCAAGGTGCGATTTCAGGGCTTCTGCTATAATTCGTTCCATTACTTTTGATATTACTGGGAGAAGAGTGACAGGTCTGTAGTTAGATGCACACGTTCTGATACCTCCTTTGAATATGGGGGCTATTATCCCGCATTTCCAATCCTCTGGTACCAACCCTTCTTCCAGAGAACTAGCGAACAGTTTAGCCAGAGGATAGCTAAGTGGTTCAGCGCAGTGGCGCAGAAGCAGTGGTGTAACGCCATCCCCACCAGGTGAAGTGTGTACCTGTAAGCCGCGAAGGTGTTTGACAATGTTAGCCCGATCAATATGCACGTCGAATAAAGTTTCGTCCGTTAGTACCTCCACAGTTTGTCCCGGTTTCGTTACCGAGTTCAGAAGACGAAGCAGAGGCCGAGGTGTTTGACGTGAGCCCCAATGAGAGATATCCAACCTTTAAGCGTGCCATCCTGTATCGGTGGTGAAAACAGGGGCGTGACCAGTTCACTAGCGCTTTTATGAAGGGCCTGTCCGAAACACTCAATAAGCTCGCGTTCGATCGTTCTCGAGAAGCGTGAAATATTGCACAGGCGTCATTTGGTAGAACCAATGGACAGTCTGTTCGTCTACTGAACACCAAAAGTTCATCCAAAATATCAGTGGTTGAACACCTCGAGTCTGTGAAGATCATCCATACGTGAAAGGATTATATCTCAAACACGGTGTGGGTCGGATTACAGCATGATTTAGGCAAAGTATCACCTCCCTCGCATGATCTCGAATACGGATGTCTGTATGAGACTGATCAGATTTTGTAGCTTACCAGACAAGCCACAATTTTTTGTGATGATTCATGGGGCCTCTACGAAATGAAAGGAACTCTCCTTGGAAAGATGAGGAAACGTGTGTTTGTTAGTTACTGGAGTTCGGAACCACGCCCTGCCATCCGATGCATACTGAATATTCTAAAGCTTTCTTCGTTTATCGTTTTCGAAAAAGTTTGGTGGCAATCTGTAGATTTATTGCTAGGCAACGTTTCGCTTTTGACACAAGCCAAGTGACAAGGTTCTGAGGTTGGTCGAGATTTAGGGCGGAAGGAGAACCAATCAGCTAAGTCAAGCCAAATCTCTGTTGGGTGTCGGCTGAAGGATTTTCGTTGGTTAGAGTGGTTGAACAAGTGTTAGGTCGGTGGGGGAAACCTACATGTGTTTGGGTCCAGCCTAGGGTCTAGTTCTTCTGGTCCGGTTCATTTGATGATCCCTCTTGACTGTCATTTGAACCTTCTGTCCGTCTGTGTGGATGAGCTAGTGCTAAAATAGTTGTGTAAGAGGGATGCTGTGACCTTTTGTCGGGTTGGGATTTCCAACCTCCCCCCCCCCCGTTTTTTCTAATGATTCTACGTGAATTGTTTTATTCTTAGTTTTGAACCTCTTACTTTAGTGAGGCAGCGCAAGATTGACAGAACACTTCACCACACCCACCAGGGTATTTCCCTGATTGCTCTCATAAACCATTTTATCTCCTTACCAAGACACTGAGAGAAACACTGGAGTGCCCCGGTTTCTCCTGGACACCTTGACACCCTACACCGCACACAGCAGGAGCTCCAGGATAACGGGCACGCAGAGTTGGGATACTTCTTCGCTGGAAACCTTGCTTTTGAGGAGCCATTCCGTCTTGACTTGGGCCCCATAGTTAAGGGCATATGACGCAGTGATTAAGACGCAAACTTAGTGAACGGAAGGTTCGTAGTTGGAAGTAAACCATGACATCTTTACTGTTCCTGTATACGCTTGGGCAAATTGGCAGTATCTTAGCTCTCATGCTGTCCTCGGGTGGTATGGCAGCTAGGCACCGAGAGGTTGTTACATCTAAAAGATGAACGATGATATGATGCTGATGTTTGAATCAGCGTTCAGCAAATAGGCAAGTGATTGAAAATTTAATTGAAACGTTCAGTCTGTTTCATAACACGACACCAACTACCTATTAAAGCTGCGGAGGATAGACTGTTGAATTTACCGTTGGTTAGAATCGTGGCGGGCGGGATGAAGCAATTTTAAGCAGCTACCAATAGTTGGGGCAGTCTCCATAGCGGAGGCCATTGGTGCACACGGTCTCTTTTAGCTGAACTATTTAGCCGATTGATGTGAACTGCAAACAGACGCGCCTAAGTTGTTATCCTGGAAAGTTTTATGGTTCCGTCTGAGATCCGGCATTTGCTACGGTGATTTATGGACGAGGTGGATGCGGTAGGGTATTGTATCACTGATTCTTAAAATGGTGTTGGATAAGATAGTCTTGGTTACTAAGCTAGGTAAGTTTATCGTAATTTTTCTGATTCATCGGCACAGGTCACTTTGAGACGTATTACAGGTAGTTTTCCATCTTGTGTTAGAATGCAGCCTGACCACTGCACGTACGAGCCTACGGTTTAACCCGTACCTGTTTCCATTTCAGAACCTCGAAACTTCTGACACTTCTATGGAGAATGTCCACCAAGCGGATAATAGGGCTAAGTATCCGAGAAACAGTAGGACAATCGTTTGAACATCAGATGAGTGGGTGTTAAAATGCACAGTGGCAAGTCAACTGGTCCCTGAGAAGCCTACCAACTACTCGGCAAATTCGCGTTGTCTAAGCCCGTGCCACCCATGAACCATACACATGGCAGAGTCTGAAGCACCAGTACACGCATTTCAGGCACCGAAAACAAAGGAGATTCATGGCTAGGATTTTAGTCGACAATCCACTAAAGTTGACTCAACAGCTTAACTGATAAGGACAATGAACCAGGGAATCACAGTACAGATAGCGCCAGTGATGAAATCCATGGGCTCTTGGGATTCTAAGGGATATGGGGCTTACAACAGGTGAAGGCGCCGTAAACACAGTCGTTGAAGAGAAGCCCTTTGCAACAAAAGCTCCAGTTGTCAGTCGTCCCTGTGGCACATCTAGTGAGTTGTTTCACGCGCGAAAAGTTCACCCTCCACGTATCAAAACCCTCCAGCTGGGTTTCGGACAGACAGGCAATGTCCACTCGGCAATCGGGTAGGATTCGCAGTAAAATACCCTGGTTTTCTACATACAGAGTGCTGATGTCTTAGCAGCTAATGTAATGTGGGTTTACTTTTTCGGATTCCTGGATCCATCAGGAACATCGGAGTACTCACGCTGAACTGCACTGAATGGTTTTGGGGAGAAACCACTCGCCCACGGCCCATCACACTCCAGGTCGCGCTGTCTTGGTCATTTGCTCCGTATGTCAGTCAACGGACAGCCATGCGAAGGCTGGAAACGAACCAGAGGTCATGCAATGACTTGGCAGTGGACTCAGCTGCGCTGATCATCGCCACCTCCCTAGATGGGGATAGACGGGATTACAATCGGGTAGGCTTCGCAGTAAAATACCCTGGTTTTCTACATACAGAGTGCGGATGTCTTAGCAGCTAATGTAATGTGGGTTTACTTTTTCGGATTCCTGGATCCATCAGGAACATCGGAGTACTCACGCTGAACTGCACTGAATGGTTTTGGGGAGAAACCACTCGCCCACGGCCCATCACACTCCAGGTCGCGCTGTCTTGGTCATTTGCTCCGTATGTCAGTCAACGGACAGCCATGCGAAGGCTGGAAACGAACCAGAGGTCATGCAATGACTTGGCAGTGGACTCAGCTGCGCTGATCATCGCCACCTCCCTAGATGGGGATACTGAGACGGGATTATATTGATTGTATATGGACAGACGGTCTAGTCGAGCGGATGCATCCAAACTGTTGCCTTCAGCGCATAGGTTTCCCACACCCTTTTCCCAATGCAATCCCCACTGTCACCCCTAAATTTAGTACCACTTGTCAGCTGCCGCCCATAATACGTAACTACTACTGAGACGGGATTATATTGATTGTATATTGACAGACGATCTAGTCGAGCGGATGTATCCAAATTGTTGCCTTCAGCGCATAGCTTTCCCACACCCTTTCCCCAATGTAATCCCCACTGTCACCCCTAAATTTAGTTACCACTTATGTCAGCTGCCGCCCATAATACGTAACTATGCACCCTTTCGAGATCATCAGTGAAATAAACTGTGGCAGCTGTAACTACTGCGCAACATGTGCATGGTTTTGGCGGTTAGGGGTGGTAGTCTCTACAAAAATCGAACACAATAGCACCAGGCTGACAACTTGTCGGTTTGTTGACCAATCTTATTTTCTGTAGTTGATAATGAGAGCGCGATGGCAACTCGACCGTAGTGGTATACAACCTGTGCACAGGCAACCGACATTTGAACTCGTTGACTGGTTGCTGCGGTGCGTACGCCGTTTGTTTTCCACTTTGCGTGACCAAGTTTTTAAAGAGGATTGATGGCTACTGTTCTGTTCATTCAGGTGGACAATTTAGTTCAAGAACACTAGACGTCACCAGTGTGCAGTACTCATGCTGTGTAGTAGTTTAGCGATGCATCGGTGTATTTCGAGCGTGCATATTTCAAAGAAAAACTAATGATGAGAGATGGTTGAGTGGCTATCAGGCCATACTATTTACTGTCAGTGTATCGTTATCATAACGATAATGATAAAGTTCAAAGGGTATTCCTTGTTTCATTTCAGGGACTTCGAAATCTGAATTGCGTCGACCGGATGTCACACAGTGTGACAACATTTTGCCCTCATAATCCGTTATTTTCGACCCATTCACTAACCCATCCTATTCCAGCCCTATTTTGCATCAGAAAATGATACTTATTTCGCATTTCATATTGTTGTTGCAATGATAATGATACGGGGAATACATTGTGGATAAACCTGTGAGTATGTCCATATTCTACAGAAGCAAGAGAAAGGAATGCAAAAACGAACCAGACATAAGTAGAGGTGCCTACACAGGACCACGAGTCCTGATCTACTTCACGGAACCCTGCAGCTGATTTGTGATTATCTGTGTGGATTGTACAGAAACAGCCTGAAACAGACGATATCGAAGCAGTGATGGTTACATATTATTTAACGTTGAGCATCAGCTTGACCGTTTTGATAACATTATGTGGTTCTGGTATGCAGGCCTGTTCCAACTTTCTGGCGTAGGGCATCGGTACATCAGCACCAGTTACTCGGAAGGCTGGAGCATCTAAGTAATGGAAAGTGTCGCCTGAAAAGCACAAAAAGGAGAATCATGTAGGTTAATCACCCAGCAGAGCACCATCACCGATCTCTTTAGTCAATTTAATAAAATAAGCTGTGTTTTTAATTCACAACAGGCAAGCAGATACAGTAGTCCTCCATTTTTCGCGGTCAGGTTACGAAACTTCCCAAGAAGTTTGAAAATCCGCGCTACATAGACACTGCCCCCAAAGGTTTAGGTTCTGAATTACCTGCCTATACCCCAAATATATCCTGGACGCAATCAAACACAAAGGGTAAATATATGACGACAAGGGTTTTGTGCGAAATCGGTAAAATATCGTATGTATATTCACGAGTAATCTAATATTATAGACAGTATTTCCGGCGAAGATAGATGAGTTGAGTGAAGACAATGATGATGAACCGGTTGCACAGTACTAAACGATGGAAATGTAAAGGACTATGTTAATTTATACTGTACAGCAGAATGAGACATTTGCATCTCTTTAGAAGACACCCATTCATCAGATCCTTCAGGAATTGACGTATGGAGGTGCGCGCACAGAAGTCAGAATCTGCAAATAATAGCTACGTCCCGAACAAAAGTCCCGCTTGGTTGGGGTGCTATACGTTAGGTATGATGTGGCGATGGACTACTGTACTCCGTTAGAAAAGAAATGCATGAGCTCATGGAAGTCAGTGACTACAAAATCCGGTGCGTCACACCCATGCAGCCATAAAAATATCATATCACAAAGATGTCTGAGGGGAAATTGAACTACAAGAGTCTAGATGTAAATGGACGGTAGGAGTGCTTCCCAGTGCGAGTGTATAGAAGAATAACATGGTCTTCATGAAGCCAGTGAGCTTACTGGCGGTTATATTCAAGTTAGATTATATACCTTGAAAGTGGAAAGTGAACAACCCTCTAATACAAACATTCCGGTCGGAACTTTACGTCAGCTTGCTGGGAAAAATATATCTAGCTATATGAGAGAGAGAGAAGGCAGAGCAAAGCAAGCCGCCGGACAAATGTCAGTTGAACGTTGTGAAAATGGGTCACTCACTCTCCATTATGCGAGCGCATATCTCAGCACCGAGTCCACATGACGGCCAGGCTCCTTCAACTGTAATTAGGTGGTGCGTTTTCTTCACGGAGTTGAAAATCGCCTGCTCATCCAAAGGACGAAGACTTCGCAAGTTGATCACCTATAGTTAAGTGAAGTGGACAGACGACATTAGACGGTCCCGAATGCACATTAGTGGAGCGGGCCGTATATTACCGAAATACAATTCCCAATGTCATCGTCGGATGGAACACCCGGAACCAACATAACCGTTGCAGGTAACATCATCAATGTTTACATCAGAGCTACCTTATTGTACAACTAATAAAAAGTGTTTTGTCGTGGAAGTGATTCAGTGCAGTGTACAATTCAAAAAGACTCCCCGGCGAATTTCGCCACATTCGCAAAGGAACGGCAGAGCCCAAATTACGCAAGACATAGGAATCGATGTGAGTGTAAAAATAGTACGGAAGGACAATGAACTAAATTACCTCGGCACTGATGCCCATTTTGGACATTTCGTCCGCAGCGGACAAGGCTGTGCCCACAGCCATTGAGTAAGCCACTAAAGTGACGTCGGTACCTAAAATTAAACAGGGGGTATGTGCTTAGAGTTGGTATTACGGATGGAGAAATAGTAAAGTCTGTAATTTAAAAGGGGCACGGAGAGATAGGGTTAGGTTCGGAAAGATGGTTACACCACACAAAATGGGGTGACTGGTAAGCCCATCATCATTTCAAGGTTCACTAACTTCTCGTTGACTTTGCATTAATTTACACCGTCTTTTAGTAGACGGGTACTATTGATCTCTAGTTTATTACGGAATTCACGCGAGGGAGTTCACTGATAGCACTGATAATCTTCGGCGATTAATCCACCGGGTTGATGTGCGGCGAATCAGGTGTTGGGTTTGGATGCATAGGCGAGTAGCATTCGCCGCACAGTGCCCACTCGCGGAATGATAGGTCGATGGTTTGATTCCACTTTCAGGCATCTTTTCCCTCATGTTATATGTATTCGGAATTACCAAAATATTTGGAATAAACCGCGGGATTACTTTATAACAATTCGAAAACAACTGGCACAATAAAATCGAAAACGCATGCAAACTTTTGGATGTTTGTATGGAAACATACTTCAAGCCTGATGGATAAATTTACCAACAAGTGAAAGGAACTCCAATGGGGTCACCTATATCCGAAGTCATGGTCGAGGCAGTGATGAAGAAACCTGAACACATCGTATAAGTCTGGATCCGCTACGTAGACGACACACCCTATGGTACTTCACCATGTACTCGATCAACCGGTACACAGAAACTGATCAAATCAACTTACCACTACAAAGGATCATTGAATTAGTCGGATGACGCAAAGGGAATCGAGCGTCAGACAGATGGTTTGGGTGACAATAATAGCAACCTTAGAACCAACAGGTCAAAGCTGGTATGAAATGAGCCGGAGAGATCATCTAGACGAGCAATCAGACAGCTAGTCAACCACCCAACAAACGGGATCAACCATTTTAACGAACAATTATCATATGTAGACCCGACGTAAGGGGATATACAGAAACACAAGCAAAACACTGCCTACACACAGCTAACCTACTAAGTAATGATGTCACCTTGGTGACCAAACGTTTGGGACTGCCCGGCTCAGCGAACAGAAGAGCCACTTATAAGACTGTCCACCACGGGCTTCGTCTTTCTTAGGATTCACCAGGCAAGCTTAGCGCGCTAGGTTCCATCAATCTTAAACCCTACTTGAACACCAAATAGTAAGGAAGTGGAGTTATACAATCACTCACATGATTGTCAAGCGCTCTAAAGAGGCCATTTATTCGAGAAGCACAAAAGACCCTTGTCTCTTGGGATGGCGCCAACAGTAGAAAGTGATAGAAAGGTCGAGCTAAAATAAGGTCCCGTTTTTTTCCAGATAATCAGATGGCAGAGAGGACAGAAGGGTTTTCTCTTGTGAACTTCGGTTAATTTCAAATAGCTGACTGGCTATCTGCCAGCCAAGAGTCATTCGATTAGTGTGAATAACCAGCTAAAAGAGACTGACCTTCACGCTCGATCTTCGCCTTCCCGATAGGTAAAACGAAGTCCGGAGACATCGCCTCGTCAGAGACATCAAAAGATTGACCGTAGAGTACTTCTTGTTCCAAGTGTACGACTAAAGAAACAAGGAAAGTTAGATGCGGAAATTACTCAACAAAAACCTCCACGTACTGGCCTGTGGCACGCACCAAACAGGGCAATCATTGTCACCTCTTCACAGATTAGGGCAAAAATGGGTCATTTAACATGACATAACGCAATGGTACGCACCTCGGCAACTGTTGTATCTCTTCACCTGCCCTGACGCTACTGGGTTATAGTCAGAAGACAAGAAGACGACCTGAAGGAACTGTGTATTAACGCAATTACAAACTTCTATATATATGATTCACTTGTCACCGTATTTGACGGTCGATCCGCTGTCAACCAACCAGTGTGTCTCCCACACACCCACACTGGTCCTCGGGCGGTTGTTCCTTTGTCTCGATTGATTGTAGATGGCCGTCTGTGCACTTGTGTACAGGTTCACTATACACAATTATTGTAAGTTAGGCTTGCAACACGAAAAGGGAACCCAGAAGTAGTAGTCACTAATAGAGAAGTTTCCTTGAAGATCTCTAAATCTATTTAGTACTGGGGAAACTGCAAGTAAGACTCACACATTGAATCTACATCAACTGTCCCATTAACCCATTGATTAAAACAAACTCAATCAAAATGAAAAATGCCACGTGTCGATTTTATTCTTACCCGGATCTGGATCACGCACTGCCGCTTTCAAGAGTCCCCTAGCATCTTCTGCACTGTATGGCGCGAGTACTTTTAAACCCGGGACACTTGCGTACCATGGGGAAAAATCTTGGCTATGCTGAGCAGCAACACCGGCGGCTGAGCCATTAGGGCCACGGAACACTATGGGAACGGACACCTAAACCAGAGAATGGAAATAGAGTTAACAGAGCTCGACACCATGAGTTTTACTACTCTTAATCAAACAAGGGTACAAGATGCACTAATTGCACTTTGAAAGCAAACTGTATGGGCTATCCTAATATCCTGTCGTTTTGTTATATTGGTGTTTTTGGTGGTGATTTCTTACTATAGATATTCCATTAACATATCCTATGCTGTTGAATAAATACTTTCTGGTGCTTGGATGGATCAGACATCTCAGACATCAACCGACCACACATGCTTTTGTGTAGAGATGAGTGTCCTTCCATAAACATACTAAACATGAACGTCGTTTTACTGTGAACGATACGGTTCACACGCATCAACACTGACACTACTGATTACACAAGGTTAGCGCTATCCAAAGCAAATAAGTAAGACAAGCTTCATCATCATCATCATCATCATCGACAGCATGACATCAATGTTCAACACCGATGCTTCACTGCCGTACAACCATGACTTATTTGAAAGCCTTATTGTGAAGAAAAGAATAAAGGTGGATGGGGAAGGGACTTAGTGCTAGCTTACCACAATCATTCCGAGGTGCCTACACCTCCAGACATTCAC